GTATCGTCAATGCCTAGGATATCTTTGACTACCGTACGTGTTATGCGCGCCAAAAGGCCCTCTTGCTCCGTGTGGGGTTGATATGCGTCTTCATCATGCCATGTTAGATTATCTGTTTCAGCATCCGTACTACGCCGTGAACGGTGCATAGATGCCAATGACTTGCGTTGTCGTCTCGTTTCTCGTTGAACTTCGTTGAGTAAGACTCGGCTATGCTCCAAGCGCCATGCCTCGATTCGCTGTCTTTTCTCCTCTTCTTGGGTCTGAACCTCGTCTAGATCAAGATGGGTATTGTCAAAGCTGTCCAGTCTCCGGCGAGATTTGCGAGGATTGAACTTCTCGAACTGGTATATCTGGTCCTGTGCATCAGCACCCAGGACGGGCCGATCAAAGCGGAACGAGCCTAGACCATCATGAGAGGGGAAGACTGGCGTAGCATTCTGGCTACCTCGTTGTGACAGAGTATTCAGACCAGGTACGGAGCGAAATTCGGGGAGGTGGCTGTCTAGGCTATCGAGCTCAGCATCGTCGTCATCATCAATAGCTGACAAAATGGAAGTCGATTGTCTAGCAGGAGATGGATCTTCAGATCTCGCCACGGTATGCAAGCTTCCAACATCACTCAGCCGTGATCGTCCAGGCGTCTCTACAGAGTGTTCCGACTCTGTGAGATATGACGAAGTTGTGACTTCAGTAGGGGGTGAGAACAGCACCCATGCCTGCGACTCCTCTAATGTTTGTTCAGATGTCGATGGTACAACCGCAAGACTCTGGTCTTCGACAGCAGGCGGGCGAGCTGCCCGCTGCACAGGTTGGCGAGTCGGCTGCTGAAAGGCCATGGTGTTAATGGCTACTTGTGCCTAGGACGATGCAGAGGGCGGGCGGGTTAGATTAGGTAGGTGTTGGAACGGATGATGCGATAAGAGCGTTATCTGTCGAGCTGCAGCTAGAGGGCTCCGGGTTCGGCACAGTGGGACGCGGCGAGCGTGGCACTTGTGGTACGCGGAGTAAAGAGCGAGCACCTCAAGCAGAGGATACTCCTCAAAGGGTTAGGGGCACGGATAGGAAAGCTGAAGTGTCGAAAAATTGGAAAGCGAAGGCAGTAGATGGGTCAAGAGGCTGACAGAACAAAGTCGAAGATGATGTGAGAGGGAAACCAAGATGATAAACAGGCCAGGAGGCGGGAGTGATGACGGCGCATTACGATACGGTGAGACCAGCTTAGTAGAACAGCCCACTTCCACTGGTGGTGCTCAGCGATAAGGTACCCCAAATTTCAGCTACTCCGTGTTCCTCAAGTGCGCAGGTGAATCGTCCATACTTGACTCGAGCTGGGGGTAGGCGCCGTGTGGGAGGGGCGCTCCTGCCTTCCATTTGCTCCTTCCCAGTGCTTTGTTGAGAAGGCCTGGTCATTTACGGCACATCTGCATCATCTGTACTGCAAGGGTGATGCCAGCTGCCGGCCTGCACCACACCGGACTGGTTAAGATGGATTGACGAGTTGAGTTGCGCACGGGAGGCGTCGCTGGCATCGTTCACTCGCGCTCTGCTACGTCCAACTAGAATATCCAGCCAACAGTTGGATGATTGAGTTCCAGTATCACTGTACGTGATTGCATCCTGAGCACGAGTACATTGTTGTAACTACTCCGTACGCAGGGTGGGGCACGCCTTCTCAAGTTGTGGCTCGCGAGACAGGATACCTCATTTTGGCCAAAGCCAACGTGGTCCTATTCTCGTCCCATCTGACGCCATGTCTTCGTTATCGCATTGTTAATCGCGCTTAGGGCAGCTCGGTTCTCAACTGTTGAGCACAACACGGCTAGAATAAGATGACAATGACGTGGTTGTTGATAGCCAGCCTTACACGAGATTGTACTTCACACTTCTTGCTCCGTATTACATGCATGTCAGCCAGTGGCAGTGGTATCAAAACCAGAACAGGGTCTTGCCTTCGTCTCTTTTCTCGACCAAGTGACGCCATCTATTATGGCCAGTGGAAGGCTTCTATGCTTCGTTCCCCGCTTGTCGTGTGGCCCAAATCACCCGTCATGCCTGGCACCCGTTTCCACAGGGCTCGTCCTGGTAATTTGGTCCCGACTCCCTCCCCTACGAACTAATTTAATAGTAGTACGTGTAGCAATTAGACCCTATGACTCGGACCGCAGGTTTCTAAACACGCAGACCTAGTATCTCTTTAGCTGCTTTTTGGCTTGCGGGGACTCGCTTACCTAAGAAATTTGTATGGAAGAAGACGTCCCACAAGCCAAAAAAGCAGCTAAAGATATTAGTCCGCGTTTTCTTCTTCTTGGCGTCTTAAATCCAGGACTACCCAGGCCTGTTAGCAACTCAGCGCGAACCAACCAGTTGTGGGCTCCAGGATGAGTCAAACCATGGCGAGAAGGGTTTTGCCTATTGATTATCCCAAAGCTTCCTGAGAGAGACACGACCTCTCAAGTCAAGGAGAAAAAAAAAGGAGGGAAGGGGGGGGCTGCATAATAGGTTGCGATTTCGAAATCGTAGCCCATTTCCCACGCCCCTCTCCCCTTAATCGTCCTATCCTCTTATTCTACCAAACGTGCTAGCCACATCTGTTGTCCCGCAACCACTCCATCCTCTTAGCAGTACAGAACCAGAAATCATTGTGCCTATGTTCAATATCTGGATCGATTGAAACATGCGTTCGTGGCGTCCTCGACCACCATGATTTGACGCAGTGTGGTAAAGTGGAGGGACGGGCAGCAAGCCTGTTGGGCTGAATGTAACTCGTCGGCAGCCATGACGTTCCCAGGCGCTCACGACTCAAGACCGCCCAGACCTATCCGAACAAATAGACGGTGAAAACTGAGAGCTTCATAGTTGTTGTTATTCTACTAAATAACGCATCTAAGAGTTGGCTCGCTTTTCTGATTGTGACGGGGTGGTCATGTCCATTGCTGGACATCTTCAAAGGTCACGCGGGCTTTCACAGCCGACGTCCGATGACTAGGCTCGCACCGGTTCGGGCGACCGAGCAGATGTGTTTAATTGATATGATATGATATGTCGTGGTATGCTAGTACGCATCACCAAGTAGATCGACGAGCAAGATGGCTCGATAATCGATCAACAGGCAGCACATTGTAGTATGCAAAGACTTGATCGTCTAGGCACTGTTCATCATGGTTCAGGCTGTATGTAAAAACGTTGGCAATGGTCCTCGGGTTTGCTTCGCAAAGCGTTGCGCCATGAGCGTATTTATTTTCCAATGAGATCAAGGCTACAATTAGCTGTTATACATACGTATAATCAGTATCTGTGTGCGTGTGCTTATGTGCGTCTCAAGATATGGTATTTGCCAAGATGGACTCAGCAGTTCATCTCGTCAAAGACTGATAAAGGAGTACAATTACAGTCAAGGATATTTTCTACAGGCTATACATCATAAATTTGTTTCAGCATTCCCATATCATTGCCGGCTTCTTAGCTCCAGGGAGAGGATGGAAGCCGCAGAGGCCTTCCGCCTATGACATGAACACTTAGAAGTTAGATCAAGCGTATACATCAATCATATCACAAGATAAGAGTAGTAAGGAACTTGTGAGGAATGCACTATTCTTTGATTTGCCAATTGCGACCGCCTGTCTTAAGAGGTCCCTAGCTGACATGCCACTATGACGCCATCCTTAACCCATATGAACCAACAAACCCTTTAAGCGGTGAAAGCGTCGGGGAAGCGGCGCATGTTCTCCTCCAGAGAACCGTGGTTGCTGAGAAACTGAACGTAAGCACCATCGACCTTGACACGGCCAGCAGCCTTGCGCTCGAGGTACTCGTCGCGGCGAAGGGGAGTGAAGCCCCAGTTCTTGGAGATAATAATCTTCTGGCGGCCAGGGAACTTGTACTGCGATCGTCGCAGAGCCTCAAGAGCGAGGTGACGGTCTGTTTGGAAGAGAGGAAAAGTATTTAGTAATGTGGCAAAATTTGACAATGAGTCACGGATTCAAAGACTTACTGGAGTCACGAGTGCGGACGCTCATGATGATCTGACCAATGTTGACACGGGCAACAGTGCCGTTGGGCTTGCCCCAGGCACCACGCATACCGGTCTGCAATCTATCGGCACCAGCGCAAGACAACATCTTGTTGATACGGACGACGTGGAAGGGGTGGGCGCGGACACGCAGGTGGAAACCTTCCTTGCCGCTGTGCTTGACGAGGTACTTGTTGGCGCAGATACGGGCGGCCTCGAGGGCCTCAGAGCTCAGCTGCTCATACTCGTTGGAGACAAGGTGAATGCACAGGGGGAAGTCGTCGACATTGGCACGCTTGCGGCCGAGATCGAAGATCTTGATCTTGGGGTCGGGAACACCACGGTTGAACCGGGACTTGGGGAACGGCTAAAGCAGAACTTTGAGTTAGCTACATGCGTCTGTTTATTATGGTCTTTTGCAGCGACGATATCCCTTGTTGTAGAAAGAACTCTACGATGCATGGATTTGCCCAAAATCTCCCTTCATGACGCAAGAAAGAAGTAGGGAAGCCCGGAATCCAGCATCGCAAAATTTCGTTTCGCAGTTTGAGAAGGGAATCGGCGGTAACGTAGTAAATTCGAAGATAAAATATCTTACCTTGTTCTTGCAGTATCGGTAGCAACGAGCAGGACGACGAGCCATCTTGTCGGGTTTTGCTGGTACTATCCTAAAGTTGGTGGTGTTTTTTGAGCAAGATCAAGCCAAACCGTAGAAGAATCGGTACTGCCTCTGTCCTCGAGATACGCACCACTTTGATTTCAAAGCAGCCTCTTGGTAAGCCGGAATGGTGCATCTCGCTTAAACTCCGGGTCTTTAGGGCTGGGAACAGCACGTCGATGGATTGTGATTGGTAGATGCATTGCAAGCCGACCCGCCGAATCTTTTCCACTAAACTACAGGTAAAATCGCGCCCGCAAAACCTTAGAAACGAACACCATTTTGCTCTCCATCACAAGTTTCTGTAGCCCAGAGCCGAATACCGTCAAGATGGCCCCTCAGAAGAAGAGCAAGAAGGATGCCAATAGCATCAATGCGAAACTAGCGCTCGTTTTGAAGTCCGGAAAGGGTACGAACTTTGCGAGACTCAACCATCATCGTCGGGATAGTCTGCTAACCAGATTTTAAAACCAACCAGTCACGCTAGGATACCGTTCAACCCTCAAGAGCTTGCGATCAGGCAAGGCCAAGTTGATCATCATCGCTGGCAACACTCCTCCTCTCCGCAAGAGTGAGCTCGAATACTACTCCATGCTGTCCAAGGCTCCCATCCACCACTTCTCCGGTAACAATGTAAGTACAGATTTTCTTCAGAGCATGAATCGAACCAATAGCATTGGCGACCGATTTACTTTTGATATGAATTTGCGACCACTTGTCATCTTGTTTCGAGAGGCAAAGTCTCTGCTAAGCGAGAAGGTTGTTTCTTGCGCTCTACCCAGAGAAAAAGTCTTTCACCTAGACTTTGGAGGGTTCACTTTGGCTTACACAATCTCTTTTCAACAGATTGAGCTCGGTACTGCTTGTGGTAAGCTCTTCCGCTGCTCTACCATGGCCATCCTCGACGCTGGTGACTCCGATATTCTCAGCGACCAGCAGGCTTAAGCCACTTGGCGTGCAACTTCTTAAAAAATAAAACGGCGTTTCGGGGTAAAAATTGGTTTCGGCAATTCTTGAGGATATATCAATCAATGTGATGCGATATTGAGAAGTTGAAAGAGGGCCCAACTGGCCCTTGCCCTTGTGGGTACGCCAACTTACTGGTATCCTGCTGCTTTCGTAGTAGATACTGGGAGACGGTCGCCTCAATATATCAATATAACTGATGACCTTTTTACTCCTGCCATTACCGTATCCAATTCATCCTGGTTGTGACACTGACGTTGAATAAGCGCTTGTCTGAGCAATTTCGGTTTATGTACGGAGTAACAGCTCCGCGAGCCTGTAACAAGTGCCCTGGTGCTACGTACCACCAGTGTTAGGCGCAGCTCTGAGCTCAAGCATGTGTGTGTTACGTAGAACATTGTATCAAATGGGGCCTTGGCGAAGTATGCTAATAATATTTGTCCACTGGTTTATGTGGTCTCGTTGAGATCAATACTTGAGCGATGTCGGGACCTTTCTTCACAATGGGGAGCAGAACATTGCCGGAAAGTGCATCATCCCGTAGCTGTAGACATCGAGATAATGCATGTTGGCGGGTGCCCGCTACCGACTGGATAATCTTGGCAGAGACAGTTGTTGGTCATGGCGGCCTTGACTCCCATCAGCTGTGACGCCAAGGGGCCTGAAGATGATCAAACGGCCGAAGCGGTGTACAATATTCTGGTATTCCGTACCCATAACGAGCATGAGCGGATATTTACCACCCTTAATGCGAGATGTCGAGGCATATTACGTATGTCCTTGTAGAAATAGCGACGAAATAGTTATTGTGTACAATACATGACACCTCATCCTGTTGTAATTTGCCAAGTGGAGATATGGGACTTTGGATCTGCATGAATAGCATCGGGAATTTCCTCTCCAACAAGCTCCAGCAAGAGGAACGGAAAGGGTTGGAGGGCGGCAGCCGAGCAACACTAGCTGGTTTCGGCTGTGTTCCCCAGTTTCTGGGCGTGATGGTGCCGTTTCACAATCAATGCCGAAACAGACGCAGTTATCGTTGCAACGTGGTCGTTGCGAACCAGTAGCGCGTGAGTACAATGGCGTGGAGGGTGGTTCGTATTGGCATTCCTGGTGATGACGGCACAAAGACTGGGCGAGGGCACAGCAGTCATACTGCAGCCATACTGCATATGCTCAAGCGTTGATTCTAAAATTGCACCGAGGTGGCGAGAGACAGAGTGTCTGGGACGAAGTACGGAGAACTTGGCTGGTGACGGATGGACCGAAGTGCTAGCGCAGGCTGACTGTGGCTTTTGCCTGACATCGAAAATTCCAAGGCCTCATGCCCGTGCAGTTTGTTGTTGGCGGTTGCTGACAGCTATTATTTCGCGACAGGCCATTTTTTTTTTCCCTCTCTTCCGCGGAGGAGCTTGGCTCTCATCCGTCAACCTTAGCGGGTAGTACTTTATCCATGCCCGCTTCCGGTCAAGACTACAAAGTACATGTACTCATTGTCCATGCAACGAGTGGAGCCCCTGCGTTGTTGTGTGAAAGGGGAATGTGTGAAAGGGGAACGGAACAAGACCCTTCGAACCGACAAGGAGGTGCCAGGCGCCGTCCAGAAGCTGTCTGACTGGTTGCTCGTCAACGTTTGAACCCTGCAGCACGAGTTCTCCAGTTCCCAATTTGTGCTGAGCACGTCCCCCGCCGGAAGCCTCAAGTGCTCCAACTCTCCAACCAGACTCTAGACCTCTTGGCTGTCCGGTGTCTGGTGCTAATATTCTATCGAGCACACCAGACATGCTTACCACAGCAACCATCTGACACCCCCGGATAGACAGTACACCCTTGGCATCACGCTCGTCTCATCTAGCTCCTTATTTATTTATTTTCTCACTACAACACATTTATACATACGTCCGCTCCTTTCCGCTTACTGCCACCTCACAGCTTGACGACATGTCAGCTGCATCCACCAAGAAGCCCCCTTCTGGCGGTGTGGGCCGAGTATCTGCCACAGAAACAGGCACCACATCGCCAGGAGCTTCGCCTTCACGAACCACCGCCCCAAGATCGTCAACTCCCACGGGACACGTTCGTACGAGATCGGTTCGAAGTGGCCCTCCTGTTTCTGCTCGCGCCGCCGCAGTCCGCAGAGACTCTGCCGATGCTCGAGCTGAGGCCGCCTCTGCTCTCGAGGACCTCCAACAGCGCCTTGAGAAGGAGGAAAAGCTCTCAGAGCAGTACAAGAAACAGTCCGAGGTGCTTCAATCGAAGCTTGACGAGGCGCTAAGAGATGCCGTCAAGTCAGAAGAGAAGCTTCATGAATATGAAGAACAGCACGAGGTCATTGTTAACGAGATGAAGGAGGCCAAGCGGGAGAAGCGGGAGATGGAGACCATCTACGAAGCCGAACGAAGCGCCATTCTCAAAGAAAAGGAGGAGTTGGCAAATAGAGAAGAAGAAATGCAGACTGTGATCCAACGGTTAAAGGACAGCTTGGCGCAGAGGAATAATACCGATGACGATAGCCGACCATCAAGGCAAGGTAAGTAAGAATTGCGTTGACACCGTAGCCCTGCGTCGCCTGCTCCGTATCTTGCATGCTCCTGTTACACAGGTGCGCTAACTCTGTGTGTCCTATTCGCTAGGCAACTCATCGCCATCCCTGGATGGTAGTAGCTTTGCGCCACCCTCCTCTCTGCAACGGAGTGATTCTCGAAACAATTCAAAGCTCATACTTCAAAAGGACAAGTTGATCGAGTCCTTGAGATTAGAGCTCGCTGAGGCACAAATCAAGCTGGTCGAGTCGGAGAACCAGGGCGGCGGCAGACTCCAAGAGGTCGAGCGCCTGCTCATGGAAGCTCGCATGGCCAACGCCCGCCTCATGGAGGATAACGAGAGCTACCAACTTCTGCTTCAGGAAAAGACACTCAAGGGCGACTTTGGCCAGAATGACTTCAGTTACATGAGCGCCGGCACCAACCAAGACGCGCTCAATGCCCTAGAAGGCAAAACTGGCGGGTCCAGTCTGGCAGATGAGCTATCCGATGCTACCGAGGCCGAAAGCGAGGCCTACCGCCGACTAGAATCCGAACTCAAGTCCATGAGGGAGCAAAACAAGGCGCTCACGCTGTATATTAACAAGATCATCGAGCGCTTGCTGCAGCATCAGGACTTTGAGTCCATCCTGGACACGTCTGGGGAGGTCAAGACAGGTCCAATAGATATCAACAAGGACCTTCCTGCACCACCAGCCGGTGAGAAGCAGGCAAATGGTGCCACTGGACTGCTGCAGCGAGCCAAGTCTATTGCTGTTGGTACTGGAAAGCCAAGGCCAAGGCCTCTATCGTTCATGCCATCTGCTGCCAGCTCGGCCCATACTGATCCAGAGACGGCTCCTAGCATTCCTATTGGGAACCTTGGACGATCTGCAAGCACGAGGCGATCTCGGCCGCAGAGTGATCAGTTCACTGGCGCCGCGAGTCTCGTCAGCCAGATGTACAAAGGACCTGACGGTCCCGCTTCGCCTCCCCTGGGCAACCCACGACACTCGCATACTTTCTTTTCACCCCCAAACATAACAAGCAACCCGACAGTCACATCTCGTTATCCCAGCGGAAGTCAGGCATCATCCGGGAACTTTCCCGGCATGAGGAGCGAGACGTCAAGTATCAGTGGAGAGTCCGGCGACATGTCGACGTCTACACCGCCGTCTCAATCGCCACCGCGTTCACACAGCGACAAGCAGACGACGTTCGCGGGCGGCAAGCCCCGTCCCCTGAGACTAGTCCAGGAGAATCAAGATGCGGTCAAGGACAATAAACGAGCAAGCTGGTACACAGGCTGGAGCTGGGGCGGTAAGAAGGACGAGGCCCAGCCCGGAGCACCCATTCCCGAATAAACTTGAGACGGCACGATTCTTGCATCATTGTGTCCCTTTACTTTTTTCTTTTGCATGCATAATTTTCTCTCGACCAACAAACGGGCAGGAACTGCAGAGCGGCTCAAATGGCGTCTATGGTGTCACATCCCCAGGTTCTTGTGTTTTGGGAGAAAGTTTACGTTTGAACGTGAAGAAGGAGGGAAGAGAGTTGTTTTTAGCATAACGAGTATTTTTCATCCGGTGTGGTTCATTCGCATTGGCGCGGAAAGGGTTGGATATACGCGCAGATTACGTACCGACACGGAAGAGACATGAAGCAATTGGACGGGTATGTTTAGATGTGACGAATTTTTTGACGTCGATAGATATTGATATGAAACGGTATTTTCGGGATGTCAATGTTCCGGCTTTTTTGTTGACGCTGCCGCTTGTGTCAGATACGTGACGTGGCAAGGTGTAGTCTTGGCATTGTTATAAACAGCATCCAGTACATTGAAATGGTGATGTGCTGGTGAGAGCTGGTTGATCCGTTGCCCAGGATGCTCTGTGTTGTTCTTGTCGGGTACATGGGCTGGACTAGGGCTGGTGAGATTCCGTCATGTCGGGCTTGTACAATCAATCAACTCTGGATGACGAGGCCTATTTCATGTACATGTCGACTTGTACTGGAATGATGACTCCATGTACACTGTGCGATTATGGCACGAATAGATGCCCAAATATATTGATAGGAAGAGGGTGGTGTTTTGACCTGTTAGCAGAGGCGGGTAGCAGTGGGAGTGGTTCGCAGTGGACAGATCGGGATTCGAGAGCCTTTATAGCATGGATTTTTTAGAAATTTTAGGAAAAAAAAAGAAAAAACCCACACACACACACAGAGAGAGAGCGAGAGCGAGCGAGAGAGAGCGAGAGCGCAATTAACTGTATTGAAGAGCATTGCTGGGCTAGGCAATGAGGTAAAGTTCATGGTGGCACATCAAGCAACGTCGGCTACAGGGTAGTTGCGCCCACACGAACACCCTTCTACCACCATGTTATTTAAAGCCCCCTCGCTTTTTACTGCGCGGGAATAGCTTATGAGATGTAAATCGAGAGCAAGTGATCTTGTCATGCTGATAGTTCGTCATCACTACAACGCTTGCTTGCATCACAACCTTGACATGAGGGCAAGGAATGGTCCCAACCGCCATCGTGGCACCTTTCAATAGCAAAACTCGGATCGCCAACGTTTCAATTCCAGGGTGGATGACCGAGGCAAAGCTCCCGAGAGCGGGCCGTCCCACAAGTCATGTTGCTACTGCGTATTTTGGGCGTCATGTCGGGTGTCATTGCAGCCTCTACGGAATATCGCGTATCTGGGGTGCATGGCCAACATGGCCAACATGGTGGTGCTCGGTGTTGTGGCAACGTGTCAGTGGCAGAGAGATAACTACCTAGGTAACTACGTATTTTATGTTTTTGAACGCTGCGACGACTGCAGTCCGAGGCAATGAGTAGCGCAACGTTGGCCTTGTAAGGCTTTATGTCCAGCTTGGCCTGATTCGGTTCGGTATCTGAACTGGGATCAAATGGAAGTTCAAGTCTTCACCACCACCAGCAACGTTGGATGTTGGCAAACCGGCCTGCGTGGACGGACTACTCGACACGTTTGATGTGACGCCCATGCACGCGCCGGATGGCCGGTTTGGTGGTGCCATCTCCTGTTCTGGTCGGATAGATGTTGTCAATCCGGGAAGACGAGCCAGAAGCGTTTTCCCTTCCCAGTCAGTCGAGTTCTCTGAGGCCCCTGTTGCGTGATTGTAGTGAGTAAACTGGGTTGGTATTCGTCAGCGGCCGTGTGTTATGGGCAGATGCCCACCACACGAAAGCCCTTGCTCTAGCTCTCTCATGGGCAGTCAATAGTGTATGGTAGCTTGGCATTTGTATCGTGTCGGACTCTCACAGGCCGACCCATGTTCCATCATGGTGATAGGGGTGCACTGTACTCCGTACACCGACCTGTTGTTGGCTTACGAAGCGGCCTTCTGTCTGGCCAGGACCATGAGGACGCCCAAAGCGGGAAGAAAGAGGACGAGATCGAACCCGTCTCTCTGCGACGATAGTTTTCCTTTCTTTTCTTTTGGATAACATGACGGCGAAAGAGGCAGTCGTATCCGCGCCATTGCCTTACACGGATGGTTGAGCCCAAGGAATTCCCGTGTACATATGACAAGTTGGAAAATGCCCTGTAGGATCGCAATTGAGGAACTAGAGACTCTGGCGTCACATTCTTGCCAAACAGAGCCGCTTGCATACTTGCGTCAGCCAACTCATGAACCAGCCAGCGCAGTTGCCTACTCATGTACGATGTACCAAGGGCAGGGATTGCAATGAACAAGAATCTGCGGGCCCAAATGTTGACCGTCGAGGCATTCATTACATTAACGATCCTTGGATGACATTGGATCAGCCCTGTCTCGTTGCCTGCTCGAAGAGTATTTTGATAGAGTACTCCGTACCATTGGTAATACTAACGGCACTCTTACAATCCATGTACTCACATCCTGCCTACCCAGGTAGGTAGTGAGCGTGTTCCACTGCTAGTAAAACTCACCGCTAGAGCAGGACATCCATGGGATGTTTCGTCTGGGGAAATGCTCATGTCGGGGAAGCAGCCGTAAATGGAGAAAGTTGATCATGTGGTCGGTTGGCACAAACAAAGACAGGCTTGTGTCCTTTGATGCGCCGCATGACTCTAGGAGAGCAGTCGTACTGTACCCGACACTCCGTACTCCGTAGTGGTTCGTCTATTCGAAGATGCTGCTTGATTGTCATTAGTGCATTGAATACCGCCTTCACCCAAGACAGAATATATGAGACATCACCACAATATACCTTGCCAGCTATTGAGCCCCTTTGCACTCGGCATTCGTGTCTGAACCGATGGACAGAGACCAAGTCGGTTATTCGGATCAAGAAGACGGCTCCAACAAAGTATTCGAGAAGACCATTGTAATAGATGGCGGTGGGGGCGAAGACATGGGTACTGTGTCCGCGGCGCCGCCGGGAATACTACCCTAGTAGCTACCTAGGTACCTACCTAGGTAGGTAGCTACTCCGTATAGTGGTGTAGATTAGTGCATTGAATACCGCCTTCACCCAAGACAGAATATATGAGACATCACCACAATATACCTTGCCAGCTATTGAGCCCCTTTGCACTCGGCATTCGTGTCTGAACCGATGGACAGAGACCAAGTCGGTTATTCGGATCAAGAAGACGGCTCCAACAAAGTATTCGAGAAGACCATTGTAATAGATGGCGGTGGGGGCGAAGACATGGGTACTGTGTCCGCGGCGCCGCCGGGAATACTACCCTAGTAGCTACCTAGGTACCTACCTAGGTAGGTAGCTACTCCGTACAGTGGTGTAGGTACGGAGTAGTTTGCCTACATCTAGAAGCTCATAGCCACTCCGGAGTCAAAGTTGTCAGTCGGCAAAGTTAGCAGCCTGCATGGATCGGCCAAAAGCGCTGACTCGTGGTGTCCTAGGCTGACATTGTGGTGTAGGAAGACACATGTGCATGACGACCAGTTGAGTGTTGGCTCGTTCGCTTCGGCCTGCAGTTAATAAGCTACAATCCTTGAGCTTGTCAGGTTCGCGAGGACTGGTGGTGCCTGTCGGTGACCGGGGCTGACAAGCCTTGTCGACCCGGCTGCATGAGGATGTGGCTTGGTGGTGGTGACGACTGGAGTAATTATTCCAATTCTCCTCCCCTTGGTCCTAAGTTTGACTGAGTCTTGCGCTGACCGTGGTTGCCCTTGCTCGACTCTTTCCCAACATGGATCTTGCAGGCCGTTGAGGATTGGGAAGCTGTCGGACAACTAACTTTTCACCTAGAAGACCTGGCCGTTTAAGTGACCATTTTCCCCCGATGGTGTACAAACGGAATACAACGATGGTCCAATGTATTCTGAAGTATGGAGTAGTATGGAGTAAGATGCAGGAGATTTCGAGTGCTCGAAGCTAGGTACTTGGTATAAAGAGCCGGACCTTGATGCTGTTCTGGGAAGATAGATGGTGATGCCTTGCTTCTGGTGTGAGGTCAAGTGCGTGGCAACGTATGTAAACAAGCTCAACGGGGAGCCTCGCACATGTCTTGGCCCACAGAATTGGGACAGCTTGTGATGGGGACAGTGGAGTTGTCGACTTGCTCGGTGCTCTGTAGGCCTACAGCGAATGATGCTGAAGTTCCAGATGTCATGTTGGACCTGCGAGGAGCCTGGCACCCCTAAGATGAGCCCGTCAATACGGAGTAGCCACTCCTGTGAAATCCGGGTGCTTGGGTGCTATAATACCCAGCGCGAAAAGACGTACGGTCCTGGTGCAAGTGCTCTGTCCGGGCCACAGGTACGACGACGAGCGAGGCAGGAGCAAGGGACCTGATCTTTGGTAGCGTCTACCTAAGTACAGGCGTGGTCTTTGTAATAAGAATAGTACATGGTACTCCCATCGCAGCCGTCATCCAAGTTGCCCGATCCTGCCTTTCATGCGACTGTCAGGAGGGAGTGGAGCGCCTCTCACCCCAGCAGGTACCTAGGTACTTGTCAAATAGCCTGGTGCTCCGTAGCAAGGTGCCTGAGCTCTGGCCTCCGTCATTTCGCCTGTTTTGGTTCTGGACAGGGAAACGGTTTCCGCTCTTGCCTGGCCAACAAGTCAAGTGTCGTCACGTCTCGCTCAGGCCCATGGAGTACTAGGCGGCTTCTTGCCTCGAGTTACAAGCAGGCTGGGATGATTTCAAGCATCAATGATTTTCCAAGTTGACCGGAAGCTGCACATGTGACTTCTTGCGCCAAACCGTCGACCTGTCCCGCTCCTTCTCAGCCCATTCGAGTTGGATTTTGTTACACGCAGCATTCGAAGGCGTCGCCATCGCAATAATACCATCTTTCCAAGGCTGGACCTCCATCCCGCCGACCCTGGTACTGCAGGACTAATTGTCTGGGACACGCTCTGCAGGTGCGTCGTAGCGCAACATCCACGCTTATTACGTACTTGTACGCCGCAATAACGAGGCTCGGGCGCTGTAGCTGGCTAGTGAACAAGGTCCTGGGAGCTGAGCAGTTGAGCACCAGACCATCTGGCTCCTGTGCCACCCACGCACCTGGCCGCCCTACGCCTGCGCCTGCGCCTAGAGTACATTTGGTGCACGGAGTCAATACTCCTCGGCCAGCTCAAGCATCGTTGAGCCACAAGTACCCGGGTTGCCTGCCCTAGGTTCCGAGTACGTGCTCCAGTGGTCGGTGCGTGCCAGACGGCCGCCACAGGGCACTCCAACTTGGACTCGACGACATCATCCACTTCATGCGGATGCTAGCAAAGCAGCTTCTGCCAGCTTCCGCCAGGCTCTGCCCTCTTCCACCAGGGCTAAGCAGTTGCCGCCTGTCAATCTGCCAACTGCCACCCTCCCGGTTCAAGCACACTAATTAAGCCTGGACTCTGAGTGCTACCAGGCCGAGTGTGTCTGTCATTCGTCATTTGCTGTTCATCCTGCATTGGTTGTGCTTAACCATCCAATCCCGGTCGCTTTCGCTGGCGCCCAGGCTTAAATATTCAACTCTTACGAGTCCGCGCCTGGCCTGCGGGCCAAAACACGCTGCCGTCCATATCTCGCTTCGTCTTTGCCATCACCGCGCGCACTCTTGCCAGCAATAACAGCCAACTGCCGACATCGCATCTCATTTTTGGGCATCGTGCCCTAGCTTGCCTCGTGTCACCCGTGGCATCCGACCTCGTGCTACGTCCATGACGAGCCACACACGATGACACAGTCTTTTCCCAACTCATCTAGTCGCCATTTTTGACATCCTTCGTGGCCACGCCTGTGGACATGCACACTCTGCTGACACCACAGGACTCGCTCACCATAATGGAGAAGTCTTCTGCTGCGGCGGACGGCATCGCTGGCACCGCTTCCGCCGCCGCCGCTGCCGGCCCGTCCAGCACCAAGACCAACAACACAACTGGTCCCAATGGCCCGTCATTACCACCGCCGAACAGCTCTACAACCGAATGTCAGACCTCGAAACAATCATCGGCAGCCAATTCTGTTGCGCAATCGCCAGCCGCCTCCAGAGATGGTTCGCCTTCTCGACAACCTCGTGGAACAACGTCGTCTGCTAAGCAAAGCGGGAGCAGGTCCCGCAAGAATAGCCATCAAGAATTGAGCCCAACTCGCCAATTAAGACAGGGTAGCCAAGATCAAGGTGCACCGACCCGAACCTTGTCATCGATGACTACCCCGAACCTACGTCCCAGTAACAGAGAAACCCCGATATATGCGCCAACACCACAGAAGCCATCAGCCATCCCGGACCTGAAGGATAACCCGCGGTGGCCAGTGTCTCCACGACTACGATCACCTCCACCACAACTAGGCCGGCCTAGGGCGACAACTCCCACACGCCGTAATGAACAAGAGGCTCCAGTGATCAGTATTCAACGGCCGAGTCCATCGCCACACGTCTCAGATACGCAAGCGCAAGTCTTGGACAGCGACACTGACGACTCTCACGCCCCTTCAGGCGTAAGAACTCCAGCCCGGGGGTTGTTAGAGACTGTCCAAGAAGTGAGCCATAACAACTCACCTGCACGGCCTAGCGATTCTGCCTTGCTGGAACAAGTCAAGGAGAAGCTTGGAGCTCCCGACAACCACTCGGACGGTGCCCTTAGTGATGGGGGCCGTGCCTTGAAATCGAAGATGAGCACTGTTAATGAACAGTATGGAGCTGACAGCGGCACTATCAGAGCGGACTCAAGAAGGCCAAGCTCAGTCCCTCCTCCACCCTTGGTATCCAGACAGTCTAGTGCCATGTCGGGAAAGCAAACCAAATCGAAGCCAGAAACGGGTTCTACTCAGAGTATGACGGTCGAGACTGAGACAGTCTCAAGTATTCCACAGGTAGCGCTCACGACGGCTACGAAGGAAGGGGGTAATGCAACGTTAAAAGCCAAGCCAAGCACGGAAACCATCAAACCTAAGAAGGAAAAGAAGAGGACCGCCAGGAAGCAACCAGCAGTTAGTGCGGGGGCAGGTAAGACATTTTGGCTCACTCATCGTACCAATATAGACAAACGCAATACTACCGCCTTATCCTCACCAGGGACTAACATTTTATTGTCTGGTAGCCTCTTCCAAAGCCGACAACTTCGAAGCTAAGATAGCTAGTGCCGTTGATGAGGCCAATACTTCCGATTCTGAGGAGACCTTTGTTTATGATTCGAATCCGCCAGATAATACGGAAAGAACGAACCGCCGCTTTCATTCCCGGACGCCCAGTGCTACCTCCATGGCTAGTCAAGTGGACCGACAAAATCTGCGGTCCATCTATGGTGTATTGGAAGGCAGCAGCCACGGACCGGTTGCCAAGAAGAGCATGAAGTTTGTGAACACCTTTAATGGAAATGCTAGTGACAGCCTTACACCGGGGGATGAAGACGGCAAGGGCAGTGGACGCAGTGTCGGGGGATCTGCCAGAGGAACAGTGCGACATCATCACCACATCGGTCGATGGGGTCGACAGCCAGGCAATGGCCACGCTTCTTTATTCGATAACGAGTCTCCGTTTCCTAATGCAGCCAAGTCAAAATTTTCCTCAAGCAACAACCTCAACAACTCTCGCAATACCTCGAATCCTTCAAGCCCGAGGACATTCCTGTCTACTCGCGGGCATTTGAATCCAAAACGCTCCGCGATGCAGATGTCGTCGGGTTACGATTTAGACGACACTACTGGCGCTGACGATGAACGCACGCCGCTGCTCGGCACAGCACGTTCTTCACGAGGCGGGCGACGACGTGGACCTCACACACTTCGCCAAGCCGAGTCTCAGACTTATACAAGGCGGTCATCATATCTCAATCGCTTCGCTGCATGTCTTGTGTTGACAATGATGCTACTTCTAGTCATCACAGGAGCTATTGGGTTTATGTTTGCCACTTCTCAACCCATGACGGACATCGAGATTGTGTCAATCAAGAACGTTGTTACAAGCGAGCAAGTGTTGATGTTCGATCTAACTGTCAAAGCACACAATCCCAATATTGTTGTGGTTACAATCGACCACGCAAATCTGGAGATTTTTGCCAAGTCGGAATATGCTGGAAATGATTCAGACTGGCGGAAATATCCAGGAACTTCCAATGAGATTCATGCCAGAGATGACCCGGTGAATGATCCACCGAAAGGTCCTGGAGAAGGCGATGGGGATGACACCGATTCTAGGCCTAATATTTTATTGGGACGGATCACCGAATTTGACAGTCCACTGACTTTTGAGGGCTCTTTGTTTCATCAAGGCGCTTCTTCTTCGACAGGAGAGATGCAACTTCCGAATCCAGGAAATGGCACTTCCGGCGGCTCTGAACGATGGGGTCACATCTATCAAAATGAATTTGACCTGATTGTGAAGGGAGTGGTGAAGTATAGCCTACCACTGAGTGCTCATATCCGTAGTGCTACGGTATCTGGTAGGACTACCGTGAAGCCAAATTCGGCGAACGATCCGTCGCACAAGCCGAACAGTACCATTCTGGGCATATAGCATGCTGCAAGTAATGTGTTACTGTATAGAGGCTTGCCATGACTCCGAATTTTCTTTGTTACTACCTATCTGTTTCGTGCATTTTCTTTGAGCGCAATCGCATTGCATGAGAAAAGGAAAAAAAGCGCTGGCGTTGGAATTTACCTCTCCAACTGCATCATGATTATGACTGATCAAAGGTTGGGAGATAAAATTGCTTTAAGTTTGTGTTATTCTAAGGCTCCGTTTTTGGTTATAGATGGGCGAAATGTCTACGTCACAGACGCTCTGCGCCAGAAGAAGAGGAGCGTACTGACCCGCAATGAAAGAACATGTTTGTGCTTGCTAGCACTAAGTGCAAGCATCTGGCATTGCCAGCGTCTAGTGATACCAAGGAAGTGGAAATATACACAGTGACGAGAAGCGGAGATGCTATCTTCTATTTTGGGGTGGATGAGGTAGAAGGGTTTTTGTTTTGCTTTACGACTTGAGCTGCTATAGAAAGCAAGGGCGACTACTACATTTGTAATTATTACGGTTTATGATGCAACAGACACAATCAAAAATGAGATGCGACGAAGTTAAATCTGGTGCAGGGGGCAGGACATGTAATGTAACTCACTGAATGACGCGGATTAGGTGGAACTTGCTCAAGATATCACTACGTACAAAAAAAAAAAAAAGGGACTGCAGATGAGAAATTAAAGATGCCTAGGCCTATTTTAAGATCAACACACTTTTCGGTAGATATGTACGGAAGATGTAACCAGAGGAAGGTTGACCATTATACCCGATTTATTTGATAACATCTTTGATTCGCCTTGACCAGTAACGCCAATCATATCCTCGTTTTGCAAATGCGTATTGACGCGAAATCTCCGACATGTGTGTCATGATACCGTTCCCATATCCGCAGCCAAATGAAACTAGACCACATCATGAAAAATGAATTCCCTCCTCGTTGAATGCAAACAACAGACGCAAAAAGTCATTCTCATCACACTTGCCAGCTCGCTTGTCAGCTAACTCGGTAACATCCTCCAGCACCTTGCGAATCTTTTCCCGAACCAATTCCGCCACCTTTGTCTTCTTGCGCTTGCTCTTGGTTTTGGGCGCATTGCCGGCCGACCTGTTCATCTCCTTGAAGAAATCTGGCGCATCGTCATCATCCACATCCATGCCATCGCCCTCCTCGGCACCCAGGCCAGCACCAGCACCAGCACCAGCATCCATGTCCATTTCCTCTTCTGCGTCACCGCCCTCCACGAGGGTCTCATCCACAGCGACGCCATTCATCGCACACCACGTCCGGTAATTCTTCTCAACCATGGTCAATACCTCCCTTGTGCCCAGCCAACTTGCCCGCAGGGTCTTGTTCTTCCTGACAAAGCATACACGCAGCAAGCCGTCCCATTCGTCCCAGCTTACATTGGGTCTGTCTTTGCCCACTTTTGGCTCAATCCGCACCACGGAGGATTCGACTTGTGGCGGAGGGCGGAAGTTGTTCTTGCCGACTTTCATGATGTGCGTGATTTTGGCCCAGAACTGCGCGTTGACGGAGATGCGCGAGTACAAGGGGTCGCCGGGCCGGGCGGTTAGTCGGAGGGCAAATTCGCGCTGGAACATGAGGACGGACGTGCGTGGGGGGTTGGGCATGGCGAGGAGCTTAAAGACGAGGGGACTTGAGATCTTGAACGATTTTCAGCCCGGCTGTTCACGTCCCGTCTCCCCGCAGGAGGGTTTGGAAGGCCAGGCTACGTACCTGATATGGCGTATTTGAAATGCAAACATCAAACTGTGGCAACTCCGTCTTAATCACATCGCCCAATACAACCTCCAATTTCCTCTGCTCCGGCGTCCCCTGCACACGCTTCGTCACTTCTGCCGCCATGCGAGGGTCCAACTCGACGCAGATACATTTCTTGGCACGCTCCAAAATTCGTACTGTCAAGTTACCAGTTCCGGGACCGATTTCCAAGACGGTATCCGTGGGTTTTAGATATGCCTTTTCGACAATGGCGTCGGACACACCGGGGTTTTTGAGGATGTGCTGGCCGAAATTGGTGTTGAACTTGAAGACATTGTTCTTGGAGTTTGCGCCGGAATTGCTTGAGCCGCCGGGCGGCCGGTCATAGGGGCTGGATGGCGCGCCGTTTCGCTTCGAATGCTTGACTTTGCCCATTGTCAAGGTGGTGGCAGTGATGGATCTCGCGGTGAGGAGGGGCGGGTGTCGATTTGGTGTTGCAGGTAAACTTTTTTCTGGGGACTTGCGTTATCGATAAATGTGAGAGTGCGTGCGAAACGGGGCTCACCATGTTGAAGATTTGGGCTACGAGGCTTAGGGAAACTCTGTCTTATTTTCACGTAGCCCATGCTTTTGCCACATGCTCAGAACGACGGGCAGCTTTCCCTGCACTGCAGCTAGGCTCATTCATCAAATTTATCTTTTGCAGCGTTTTGTATTTTATTTTCCCTTTTGCCCGCGCAGAACGCGCACGAGAATATAATGGCGTCCAAACTCGATTTCCTCAACCAAAAGGCGCCAGAAAACTACGTCGCCGGTCTCGGTCGTGGTGCTACGGGCTTCACAACAAGATCTGACTTGGGTCCAGCACGCGACGGTCCCAGCGAAGACCAAATCAAGGAGGCTCTTGCAAAGCGCGCTGCTCAACTTGGTCTTGCGCCCGACGGCAAGAAGAAGGACGACGACGACGACGATGACGAGCGATTCCAGGATCCCGATAATGAAGTTGGTCTGTTTTCAGGAGGCATCTACGACAAGGACGATGAAGAAGCCGACCGCATATGGGAATGGGTAGATGAGCGCATGGATAGAAGGAAAAAGCAGCGTGAGGCCCGAGAACAAGCCGAACAGGAGGAATACGAGCGCAAGAACCCCAAGATTCAGCAGCAATTTTCAGATTTGAAACGTGCGTTGGAGACTGTCACGGACGAAGAATGGGCGAATTTGCCCGAGGTTGGTGACTTGACGGGTAAAAATCGGCGAAGCAAGCAGGCTTTGAGGCAGAGATTCTACGCTGTTCCAGATAGTGTGCTTGCCGCTGCGCGGGATTCTACCGAGATGAGCACCACGGTTACCGATGATGGTGTCGCGTCGAGCGCTACGGACAAGGTGGACGGGACTATGACCAACTTTGCGCAGATTGGTGCTGCCCGCGACAGGGTGCTCAAATCGAGATTAGAACAGGCATCCCGAACGAGTGGCGATGCTTCGAATGGCTGTTCCACGAGCATCGATCCCCAAGGCTACATCACAAGCCTGAACAAGATGCAGATGAATGAGGCCCAGGCTCAGGTGGGAGACATCAACCGAGTGCGAGAACTGTTGCAGTCAGTGGTCAAGACAAATCCAAATAACGCCCTTGGCTGGATAGCCGCAGCTCGATTAGAAGAGTTGGCGGGCAAGATTGTGGCGGCGAGGAAAACGATTGATCAGGGCTGCGAAAAGTGTCCAAAGAGCGAGGATGCTTGGCTGGAAAACATTCGACTTAATCACGACTCGCAAAACGCCAAGATTATCGCCAGGAGAGCCATTGAGGCCAACAACCGGTCTGTGAGACTGTGGGTGGAGGCCATGAGGCTGGAAAACATACCCAGCAACAAGAAGAGAGTCATCCGTCAGGCGTTGGACCACATCCCGGAATCAGAAGCCCTCTGGAAGGAAGCCGTCAACCTGGAGGAGAACCAAGACGACGCCAAGCTGATGCTGGCAAAGGCTACGGAACTGATCCCACTATCAGTCGACCTCTGGCTCGCCCTAGCACGCCTTGAGTCACCCGAAAACGCACAAAAGGTGCTCAACAGGGCTCGAAAAGCGGTGCCCACGTCCTACGAGATTTGGATCGCCGCCGCACGCCTAATGGAACAGCTCGGGCAAGCAAACAAGGGCAATGTCATGACGACGGCAGTGAGAGTCTTGGCCAAGGAGTCCGCCATGCCCAAGCGGGAAGAATGGATCGCAGAGGCAGAGAAGTGCGAGGACGAAGGCGCCATCCTCACCTGCCAGAACATCATCCACGCCACGCTGGGCTGGGGCCTCGACGAAGACGACGACCGCAAGGACACGTGGATGGAGGACGCGAGATCCAGCATCAACCGCGGCAAGTACGACACCGCCAGAGCCATCTACGCATACGCCATCCGCGTCTTCTACAACAGCAGGACCCTGCGCATGGCGGCCGCTGACCTGGAGCGTAACCACGGCACCAAGGAGTCTCTCTGGGAAGTCCTCGAGCAGGCCGTGGATGCGTGCCCCACCAGCGAGGACCTCTGGATGATGCTCGCCAAGGAGAAGTGGCAAGCAGGCGAAGTCGACAACGCCCGTCTCGTCCTGAAGCGCGCATTCAACAAGAACCCCAACAATGAAAACATATGGCTCGCGGCCGTCAAGCTCGAGTCCGAGAACGACAACGCAGAGCAGGCGCGCAAACTGCTTGAAATCGCGCGAGAGCAAGCCCCCACCGACCGCGTCTGGATGAAGAGCGTCGTCTTCGAACGGGTACAGGGCCAAGTCGAAAAGGCGCTCGACCTCGTCCTGCAGGCCCTCCAGCTCTTCCCCGCTGCCGCTAAGCTCTGGATGCTCAAGGGCCAGATCTACGAGGACCTCGGCAAGACAGCCCAGGCGCGCGAAGCGTACGCAGCCGGCGTCAAGGTCGTCCCCAAATCCATCCCTCTCTGGCTTTTGTACGCACGCCTCGAGGAAAAGTCCGGCATGATCATCAAGGCCCGCTCTGTCCTGGACAGGGCCCGTCTGGCCGTTCCCAAATCGCCTCAACTCTGGTGCGAGTCCGTGCGCCTGGAGCGCCGTGCTGGAAACATGTCGCAGGCCAAATCCATCATGGCAAAGGCGCGGCAAGAGATCCCCAAGAGCGGCCTGCTATGGGTCGAGCAAATCTGGCACCTTGAACCGCGGACGCAGCGCAAATCGCTTAGTCTGGAAGCCATCAAAAAGGTTGACAATGACCCGTTGCTGTTTGTAGGCGTGGCGAGGATCTTTTGGGCGGATCGAAAGCTGGAGAAGGCGCAAAACTGGTTCGAGAAGGCACTCGTGCTGGATAGTGACTCCGGAGATAGCTGGGCCTGGTACTATCGGTTCCTGTGTCAACATGGCACAGAGGAGAAGAGGTCGGAGGTGGTAAGCAAGTGTGTTTTGAGCGAGCCCAGGCATGGGGAGGTTTGGGAGAAGGTGGCGAAGGAGCCGAGGAATGCCAGAAAGGGGGTGGAGGAGATTTTGAAGTTGGTTGCAGAGGAGCTGGAGTCCTGACGGGGCTTGTATTATTTATTATATTATATTGTATACTGCGGGCGTGTCAGGGATTGGGTGTCAGTGATTTGATTGAGGTTACTACTAATGAGAAATGCCATCAAGAGCGATGACAGGCCCGAGGATATGTGGGTAGTTTGCATGATGAGAAATGCAATGGCAACATGACAAGCTCAGATTGTACGAGTGGCGCGTGGAAGTAATAACTAGATTTCGAAGCCCCAAAATGTCATGACGTTTACTAGTTACAACGGAAACCCTTGACATTGGCCTTGGCCCGACCAACGCCGCATCTTAATATGTATGACGGACATGGCTCTACTTGTTGCCACCGCCAAACCATCCCGAAATACCACTCTTGGCCTTGGCAGCACGGTCCTCGACCGTCTTGTCAAACTTGTCGACGGCCTTGATGGCCTCAGCCTTGGCGTCCTTGACGTAGGATTCAGTCTGGCTCTTGATGTTTCCGGCCTTTTTGTCGGCTTCGGCCCACTGCAATCTTGTCAGTTCACCATGCCGCACAGTCGCATTCTTGCGCCGTCCAAGTAGAAGGTGAGAGGACAATACATACAGCCTTGTCAACCTTGGCACCGGCCTCAGCTCCATAGCCCTCAAGCTTCTTCTCAGCACCAGGCTTGTTACCAGGCAGACGGTCCTTGACCTTGGCGGCGGCGCTGTGGACATCACCTGGGAAATGTGTTAGTCTCGTCGTGAATTTGTTACAAGCGCTGCTGCTGCTCCTGGGGCTCCCAGCGGTCTAAGTGCACTGCGTAACAAAGCGTATCTGAGCCGTGTCGAAGCAGCGCCATCGATTGCAGCATGAGGTAGCCAACATACTTTCAAACTTGTTCTCAGCGGCTTTGGGGCTGCCGCCTGCATTGTATAGGTAGTACCCGACACCGCCTGCGGCACCGAGACCGAGAATAAGAGGCATACGTGATTTGGACATTGTGTGTGAATGTAGTCTTGGTGTGCGGAGGAGAGCGACGAGGTGTGTAGCCTGATGGAAGGGTCGGAACTTGAAGCTTCTCACGATGAGGCGGGAAGGTGGAAGTAAAAGGCAGAGATTTGGCCCGAGGGTGGGTGGCTGGAGAGGAGGAGGGATTGACGGTTTTAGCTGGAGGGGAGGAGGAGTTTTTGGTTCCTAGGAGCTACAGCTTTCTGCAGATATACTTGGGGATGACATGAACGATGGAGGGCAGCTACCTGGCTGGGTACGCGGGTTTGCGAGGGCAGGCGCATGGAGATGGAATGTGGGAGGAAGTCACTTTAATGTTACTCAACGGCTGGAGGCGGCATGAGCGACTGTAGAACGGATAGCGGGAGTAGGCACCTGGCACCAGCGGCTTTGGGCTCGGGGGCCGACTACAGTGAGATGATGAGTGATGGTTGATGGTTCCAGGCGTCTAGGCGTCTGCTGCCGAGCGGGCACGGCGTTGAATGTTCGAATGTTGATGGCACAATCGAATCATGGGCTGGCTCATGGCGCTTCCGCGACGGGCGAGCTTGAGCTTGGATTCGAGAGTGGGTAGGCGCAGCTGTGGCTTTTGGCCGTGGTGATTGGCTGGACGGCAGTTCATGACGTAAATCTGGCTCTGGGCTCTGGGGGTTGTGCAGGGGGGAGGACACAGCAAGACAAACAGGACCTGGGGAAGATGGATCGGCGGAGGACGACGAGCGCATGCACATGGTAGCTCATGAGGCATCAGTCTGCGATTATACACAGATGAGGAGGGAGTTAGGATACGCATTGATGTAACCAGCATTGCATGTACCGCAAGGCCGGCTCCGTTGGGACGTGAGAGGTTTATGTCGCCGCCGAACCGGCCCAACGGTGTTGAATGCGAATGCTCCAATGCCTCTTCTTTCGCGCTTGAATGAAACGGCAACAACATCTGACCTCGGTCGCCCAAGTCGTTACATCATTGCGACACCCGTCCTTGCCCACACAGTTCCCGACGGCCTTGCTCCGTACAATCGGCCCACAGTGGTGACCTGCATCTTGGATTTTTGGAGCGCGCATCGACATGGATGAGCCGTGCAATCCCTGTTCATTGGTACTAGTAGTACTATCCTTTGCTGGCGATGTTTCCGAACATTACTACTGATTGGTGCTTAGAAAGGTGGCGGTCTGTCTGGTGCATGCATCATCAGTCCATAATGAACATGAACTTGTCGTGATGCTTCCGTGGAGCTGTGCAGACACGCCTCTTTTTATTTGTTTTTATGCTAGATTGCTCCTGCCGTTTACTTTCATTACTCTGCATTCAGACTCTTAGTCCCACCTGCCAACAAACATTGAAACAATAATCCTCACATCTCCACTTTCAAGCTTAATGGAGCTTTTTTGGCTTGTTTAGGCGCCAAGCTCTTTTTAATCCGACCATCGTTCAAGTCAAGGCTAAACTGTGGCTCAGCAAGCTGGAAACCCGCCTTGCTTGGCCTTTGGTTTTGGCTCGCGAATCCTGGCCACCGTTGCTCCGTTACATTTTAGCTTTCCTGCTTCCTGCTCTCAAACTCTTTCAGTCTCCTCCCACTTCACTTTTTTCTACGTTTTCTGTTCCCCTCTTACATTTTTGTTTCCCCTTCTCTATTGCTGGCTTGACATCAATTCAACACCCTTTGCTCATTGCTTCTTCACGCCGCAGTTTTATTTTTAAGTCTTTAATCTCTCCTCCCTTTCCTTGGGATCTCTGTGCGACGATTCTGGCCGACGTTTTGGACATTCGACATCGCAAGCCCTTGCCACTGGCAAACGTACTCCACTGACGCAATCCGAACACAGCGGCGGCATCGCTTCTCTTCTGCGTGTTCAACCAGTACGGACGAGCACTTACACAACAGTGGGCGGCGCCACACCTTTACTCTTGCCCAGTCGAAGAACCGCCCAGCCTCATACTTTCGTCATACCCATACCCAAGGATTTGGTAAGCGCTTCACCAGCGTATACTTAGATCCGTCATGCTCGCAAGCGTGGATGCGCAATGGTGAAAGTTCGGAGCTCTCGCCGTGTCGCGGGTCTGAAACCAGGCGATTACGACCACGAGATTGCCCTGGTCAACCATGATGGGGTGGATGACGATTCACACACCGTACTGACGTCGGATGTTGATACTCGTAGGGGCTCAACAACATCTCGATTGGTATCGCTAGCGGGTGATAGCGGGCAAGAAGATGAGGCAGCCCGGGCTGAAGGTAGCCAGGCAAACAGAAACGGCATCCATGATCAACAAAATAGTGTAGTAGTGGTGGACGTGTCGGAGGAGAGTGACAATCGACTCCGTCCTGAGGATTCTCTTCCCCAGCCGTCCACCCAGCCATCAATTGAAGTCCACGGTAAATAACTCTCTCAATATGATGGACTCCAACCATCGGGGACTAACCATCTACCTTCGCAGCTGCGACACCGGACGTATTCCATGATCCCACGCATCGAATCATGCCCAAGCAGCCAAGCGAAACTCGGGAAGTTGCTATTGACGTTCTGTACGAGAATGAAAGAGGGGGTTTTATGTGTGGTATAGCACTATTTTCATCTAAAGCTCTCGGTGGTCTTGATCCGCCTGCATGGAGTGAGTTTCCTTTTGGCCACATGCCAATCCTGAAGCCGGAAATACTGACTGCAGAAAAGCCAACGCTTACCATAAACCATCACTCACCAATATTTACACCGCAGTGGTTCCAGATCCCTCATGGGAGTGGGTTTGGCCAGAGTGGCGAATAAACTATGAAGAAGGCGTGGACGAGGGCGGCTGGGAATACTCCTTTGCGTTTTCGAAAATGTTCTCCTGGCACGAACCACGTTGGTGGAACTCGTTCGTTAGAAGGAGAGTTTGGATCCGGAAAAGGGCAAGGAGAAGACCTGCAGATGTAGATTCCTCTGGCCACTTGCTCAACTCCGACTACTTCACCATTCGACCCGCGTCTTCTCGCAGCAGCAATCGGCGATCTGTGGCGAGCGTGGCTAGTAGCCGTCTTCCCAGCAAGTCTAGCATAGCACGCACATCTATCAAGGAGATGGAAGAGGCCCAGGAGATTGAGAATATAGAAACGTTACTGTCGGTTCTGCGGTCATCGAGAATCGATCGTGAGAAGAGAGAAGCCGTCGAAAATTACCTTGATCATGCAATGGACCTTAGCCAGCTTCAAGACGAGATGCACGAAATCATGTCGATTTTTGTTTTTCAAGCATCACGGCGACAACTTCTGACCCATTTGATGCGTAAATACGATGACACGGCACGCAAGCTGGAAGACAACGACAACAAGGACGACAAAAATCTCCTGGAGCGGAAGAAAGCCCTCGAGGCCGCCGTCAAACATGCAGAAGAGGAGGTTAGCAAACTGGCCTACTGGAGTGACGTCAAAAAAATGGCCGAGAGGGGGGAGCTGAGGTTGTCGCTCGATGAAGATCAGGGTTGGTACGAGTCACATCCTGGTTTGGATCGAAGCGGGCCGAATGCGCCGAATATGGGCGAGTTGCCATGATCCGAAAGATATCATTGAGAGGGGGGTCACATCATTTCTTACTTCAATCCTCCATCCTGTCTCTTTGTGGATATATTATTTTGTATACTTAATACCCTCGTCCTCGATAGTTTCTTTTTCTGCCAATTATTTCTTAAAATGGGGTCCGGGGACAAAGGGCATTCCCGTGCTGGCGGCTTTTTGCATGACTGGGAGGCAGAAGGAGTTTTTGGAGTTGCCACCATCACATCAATTTCTGGGGTTGAGCATAGCATACGAACTGCATCATGCTGAAACTGCAGGTGTTGAGAATACTGCAATACTCAAAAGTGTATGGAATACAAAAGACTAATGAAATTCATGCTCTGCATTTGGACAGTATGATTAATGGACAAGGATGCTGTCACGTCACAGACGCGGGTGCCATTTGGTTGAGATGGTTGGTCCATGTATTAAAGGCTGCCCTCATTGCTCAATGTGAGAATTGGCAGTTGCACCACTTCAATGTGGTATCATAATAGGGTACATTTTACAGTTTTACGGTTTATGTCTGCTGGCAGATATCGTAGTGTTACTGTACTGCTCTGGTATGTAAAACACATAATCTCGAAAACGAGCCTGCTGAACTGTTGCATCATGAAGTCGTCCGACGCATGCTTTTCACACATTTCGCTCGAGAATTGATAACTCTGGAAGTGCTATGTGACTTTTCAAATCGGCAAGAAAGCCCTGGATAACAACAAAAGGTCAGGGCCGTGGTCAAATTCTTACCTGCGGCTCGTTAATTACATTGCAGCCGGGGGGCAAGGACGGTGCTCATTTCTGCCCGTTTCCCAAGCAATTTGTCTCGTATTTCGTTTCCATGGTTGCAGGCGCGGCGTAATCAACCAGCGGCAAAGGTATTTTTTTTTTCTCTCCGCAGTTGTGTCCGGCCCGGTCTCTCATAGCTACTCAGGTATTTGGCCAGTATGCCATGACCAAACTGCTTGAGGCGTTTATACTAGATTCACTGACGTACTTGGATGTAAATCGAGGGCTAGATGATATGAATGTGCGTTCTTTAAACCCCCTGCTCTTTTCAAATACCTGGCCATCCATGAATCCGTGGACGTAGCATGAGCCCACGAATATGAAGTCCCCGTTCGCCTCGTTTGCACCTTCATGTCCGGATGGGACGGGCCTCAGGACAAGCGGCACCTTCGCGCCCTTCAGCACCGTGATCCAGTCGCCGTCTTGGGTTCCGTGCGGGACCCTGCAGTAGTTCCCGCACTTGGTCACGGCGAAATCCCACGTATACCACTCAAACACGGCGTCTTGGACTCTGAAGTCGATGTCGATGTCTCTGTTGCTATCCAGAGGCGTGGTAATCCATTTCGTAAACCGTAGCGTCAGCTCCTCGATGTCGGAGCTCGTGAGGCGAGCCATTGGGTAGCGCTTCACGTCCATCATCATGGTGCGCCAGAAGGCTTCAAACAAGGCTGGGAAGTTGGAGACGTCGCAGGCACTCGAGCCCGGGTGGTTTGTCTTGAGAAACGAGTATAGCGAGGAGTTGCCGATGCGGATTGCCGCCCGGATGAGGTCGTCTGGCATCCACTGCAGACAATAGTTCGCGCCGGGGGGGTAGGGCATAGAGTGCTGGTTTTGCCGACTATACCTCGAGACATGGGATAGGGTGTCGACTTTGTAGCCCGCGAGCCGCAGCGTGCCCTCGGAGATGGAGAGCGGCAAGTCCACCTCGGCGCCGCCAGCGTTGAAGATGGACCTCTGCGCGAAGAGTATGCTCGCTTGGCCGGGGTGGGCAAAGTCTATGGTCCACGATTACAGGTCGCTGCTGCGGCCGTCGTTGCCGTAAAGCTGCCAGGCTGACTGGCACAAGAGGTCGAGGTTCCGATCGTGCTCTATTACTTTTCACGCAGTCGATGTAGATGGCCTTTGTGTAGAGGCTATAGTCTGCCTTGACACCGAGTCTATTCGACGTGAGACTGAGGAGGGCGTATATCTTGTCCCGCGGATCAGTGGCATCGGTGTACCGGAATCGGGAGAGGACATCCAGCATTGATGACGGCTCGTTGGCCTGGGCCTTGTCCCTCACGACTCTTCGCTGGTGGCACATGATTTGCGGGTAGGCAATCGCTCCGCTTGCCCAGGACCGGATGCTCATGTCGGGCCGTGAAAGGCGTCGGGGACACCGTATCTCTCAATGTAGACATCCACGTCGAGGAAGCCCTCCACCACCGTCCACGGCAGCGTCGCATCCCCTGCCACGAGAAGAAGGCTGGATGCAAAGGCTACTTCCTGCACGATCCAGACCCGTTTCCACACGGCTGGTGAACAGATGGCGTAGGTTCTCCTGCATGCGCTCCAGCGTCTGCGTCTGCTCGTCGCTCAGGTCCCGCCATCCCCGGCGCAGCTCGTCCTCCGGGCGGAACAGGGAGCCGAAGTGAGCCATGGAGGATGCTGCGTCTCGCAGCATCTCGGCATCTTCGCCGAGCCAGAGGAGGTCTGTGGCGCATCGTCGGTAGACCTGGCTCATGTAGCCTATGTGGTTGCTCTTCTCTGCGTGGTTCGCCTGGTCGATGCAGATGGCGTCGGCCCAAATTTGACGCGGCCTGTCTGATAGGCGAGGTGGCGGAGGGCACTCTCCAGGTTCCTAGTTGCGTTGAATATGCCGTGGCCGACCTGAATTGGCCGCGTTTCTGTGGTTTGGCCCCAGACATAGGACAAGGCCTCAAAGGACGGGTGGTTGTGAAGCTCGACGTTGTGCAGCTCGCACTTGACGGGGCTCGAAAAGTCCGAGGATGGCTGCAGGGTTATGAGACGGAATCCGCTGTCTGGTTTGATCGGCTTGTACTCTACGGTGGACTGCATTTTTATTGTGAGTACCAGGATAGATGGCACTGGTGGTGCGATAGTCTGGCGTTGCTGACATTGGAACCGCAATAATCTATCCCCTGACGTTATTTACCAGGGATGATGAAAAAAGAAAAAACCAACCCTAACCCTAACCATTTAAAAACACTGTTGCAACGTTGGCAATTAGAGCGTAGCTTGGGTTATGGTGTAATGATCACAGAATTCGTAGAGGGGGGGCTTCGGATGGGCTATCTATTCGATTGAGAGACAGATGACCTTGTAAGAAGGAATGTCTGAGTATTGCCAAAATGGGCAGCCGGTTCAGTTAGACTAAGTCATGTTAAGATTGATGAACTACGCAGACACATTTCACAACGCGGTAGAACAGTATTGACTACACAATGCTGTTTTTGAATCCAATTTCATAGCCTTGATTTCGACTTGATGCCAAATTACATGGTGGGTTGGTCTTGCGGTATCACCACCACCTCGTCTACTGCGCTGCTCTGCCACGGAAGCCTAGCACGTGACGTGGTGGGCCTTTGCAAACCCGGTTTGGAGGGCTCTCCGACATCTTCTCGACTTCTCCAAATCACTATTTACCACCATGCGGCACACCTCATGACCAATGTCCCTGGGGATCAAGTCAATATGGCGGACTGGGTCCCGGTGCATCGGCTTACCTGGAGCGCTCCCCATTTGGAGATGCGGCCTGCACTCCAGGGGATCTCTGCTGTCAGCATCTTTCTCAACAAGTCGCCGACAGTACGAGGCTGAACAGGAGAAGGACAAGACTAGGGACTCAGCGACCCTTGCTTCGCAAGCTCTGCCTATGACATCTGGGATCGAACAGTCGGCCAAAGCACGCGGTGAGGTGGTGGAGTCGAATCGAGCGAGAAACGCCTTCATGAGAGGCGCCTTCAGGGATCAGTCATCACAAATACAGGCTGCCGTGGACAAGAAACGAAACTCGCCTTACGTACCAACTGCTCGCGACTATCCATCCGTGGCAGCGACCAGAGCAAGTGAGGGCTTCTCACGCAAGATGGCTCGTGTTCAAGTGGGATTCGATATGATCTGGGAGCACTTTGGCGGAAAGGTACCTGACTGGAGCGAGACATTCAACTTGCTCAAACGGATGACGCCGAAACGAAGCGAGACTCCAAACATGGCGGCTGTAAGGGTGGTGCTACCCTCATCGTGGGATATGTCTGTGGGAAACAAGCGAATCGAGTTCTTGGATGCGACAACGGGCCTGACCACCAAGCTGCGAATGTCTGCGGATCACCAGAATCCGTCAGCTGTTGTCTTGAGAGGCGAAAGCGCCGTCTTGGCGAAAGCAGCAGACGAATTGATCAGGGCATGCCCTGATGTAGAAATATTCAAGCTCGGGGATGTAGCTACCGTGGACTACAAAGCCAAACAGCTATGGCCGGCGATTGAGGATGCCCAAGATGCAGGGTCGTCAGTCCCACCGGGCAACAAGGACAATATTTGGGTGCATAAGGAGCTGCAGACATATTGGATTGACCTCCCGTACGAGCAGACGCCTAAACCAAGGCGGTGGACCAAGGAATCATTCGAGACGTACATTACGGCTCTTGTGTGTGGGCGATTACGGCCATATTTGGCCATGAAGTACTACAGACAACCCCGAGAAAATGGCAAACTCATTGATACAGAGGGCATACGGATTAGACTTATTTTAAAGGCGTTCGAGGACCCGGCAGCAAGGGAGTGCATCACCACGTCCGTTTTGAAAATGGCGATAGGATTCATGGCGCACAAAGGGGGCCACCGTGCATCCGCAGATCGACTCTTCACGCTTGCCGAGGGATGGGGCCTGCCCATGGACACCGAGCTCTTTAATGTCGTTCTCGGCGGATACGTTGCCAAGCGCGACGTCGCCTTCTTTCACAAGCTCCTCCAAAAGATGGAAGAGCGATACTTCTACCCTAATGCCAGAACCTGGCTCCATTTCCTCAAGCTCGTCCAGCGAGACGATGAGAGACGACAGGTTATAGCCGCCATGTATGAGAATGGTCTGTTCGAAGACCCCGCCACGCGAAGGGGAATCGCCGAAACCATGGCTAGCAACGACTCGTTCGCAGCCTTCAAGGCCGGCAAAAGCCTAGACGTCTTCCTCGCCGACCAGGCCATGCGCTACGGAGAAGATTGGTACACAGTCGAAGCAATAAACCGCATCCTTGAAGAATTCTTCTGGTTTCACGACCGTTCCCACCCCGACTTCTCAGCCTTCAAATCCCTCCTGGACCGCTACGCCTCCAACGGCCACCAGGTAGGCATCAGAAGCACGTCCAACGTCATTATCAAATGCTGCATCAGTAGAGGGGACTGGCCTACCGCCCTGTGGGCCCTGTCCCGCATGCTTCAGCACGGGCGGGAGCCCAACTCCCAGACGTACACTTCTCTCGTGTCACTAGCCATCTCCTCCAGGGCACACTCTTCTCTCGGAGTGCTCTTCTTCTACGGCGTTCTCTACCGAAAGCTACGAAAGGGCCCGCGAAGCGTCATGCAGGGCGTCATGCTCAAGCGACTTATGGACGGTTTTCCCGTCAAGATATTTTTCAACAAGATGGGCCGACTGTTGACAGAGAAGAAGGTAGCAAGCGACCACGCGATAGTTGCGGGCGCCGAATGGGCCATCCTACACTCATGTAAGGGCTACAAACCCGTCAAGTCCCTCGCCGCAGCGCTAGACACGACTTGGCGAACCATGGACCAACCCCTTTTGCGAACGGCTCTCGCTGCCGATCCGGAAGAAAGCGCAAAACGAGTCCTCTTGCACGATTACGCGGTCAAAATGCGAGATGAGTCTGGCCAACAGCCCCCTATCATAGTCCATCTAGACACGGCGTTTGATCCGGAAACAATGCTTCGAAACTCAAACCCTGAAAATAAGCCCCGGCAGCAGCATGTTCCTCAAGACACAAGGTCTGATATCCAGGATGAATTGAACGGAGAAGAGAAAACAGTCAAAAAACATTAATTATTGAAGAAATTCGTGTACGATATACAAACAGGTGTTTTGATACCCACTCGAGCATTATAGATGGACAGTGCAAGCTTATCATGTAAGGGGACGTCTTTATCATGTGCTGCTAGTTACTAGCACTACTGCGTATGGGATATATAGAGATCTTAAAAAGCTGTATAATAGAAGCCCCAATCAAACCGTGCAAGAATTTTGGATTCCTTTACTTCCCTCGCCAAAACGCCCGTGCTCTGGGCGATACGGCGGTGCTGATGACAAGTAATGTGAAGTGACGGGATAAACAAAAGTTGACAAGCTTGTGAACAACACGAGAAGGCGATGGAGAGGAAGTAGTGAAATGTAGTTCTGTCGTGTCTTGTCTGTCTCGCCTGCAGCTCCTTTCTGTCTGTAATCCATTTCATGCATCCGACAACCGGTAATACACTGAGCCATAGTGACGACGAACATGACTTTCGTGGAGGGAGTAAAAGAAACATCAAAAAAAATGTCTAATCGTCCAACCGGTTGGTCAATTCGGAGGAATGCAACCCACATACACACACCCTTTCGCCCACGCCCCTATCCTTCCATTTCCTTCACACAAAGGCGCGCGTGAAAAAAACTAGACTTCGAGAAAAAGAAGAGGAAAAAAAATTCGAGACTTCGTGTGAATAAAACATATCGAAACGCAAGCCAGCCCAAGCGAGACCCATTTGTGTGTATTGTTTGTGCTTTCACTTCTCCCACATCCATCCTCTGATGTCTACCCCAATTGAAGGCGAAAGAACCACCTATTTCTTCTTACTCTCGTCGGAGGTCGATTTGGGCTTGGCTTCCTTCTTCTCGTCCTGCTGCTCGGATACAGCCGCTGAAGACTTGACGATTTCTTTACCAGCCTTTGACTGGGTTTCTGGTTCTTGTTTCGATTCGGCGGCTGCGGCGTTTTCTTTCTCTTTTGACGTCGAGCTATTCTTAGACACTTGACTCTCGAGGTCTTTGTCTTCGTCGGCGTTATCGAATAATTCGGTATCATCTGAATCGGTGAGAACCTCTGTGCCATCGCCGAGAAAAATAATTCGGCCTCGGTACCCACCAACGCCGAAGCTTTTGCCCTTGTTCTCTGCATCCATCTCATAGCCACTGTCACTATCTTCGTAGTTGTGGTGGACTCCAGGACCACGGAACTCGGCTGATAGGAGTAAACAAAACAGTTGTCAGCTCAAGTTTTTGATGTTGGCCAATGGTACACACAAAGTCCACCCAGGCTCGGTCTCCTTTTGTATACCCGTGATTTTTTTTTTTTTTTTGGGGGGGGGTTCGTACCATATTCCGGAGGGGCGCAAGGGCCGTCTCCGTTTGCGACACGCTTGGCGATCTCCTCGTACCATTGCTCCTTGGTCCTACCATTGAGGAAACCGATAATGGACATGGTCATGTTGTCGCAGCCGACGCCGCCCGTTTCCGAGTTTGAAGCCAGACAGTTGTCCATCATGTTCTCGCAGATCTTGTCCAGATCCTGCTTCGCGGCGATGCCACGTCTGACAAACTCGACAACAGCCTGTGAAGATTGGCAATCCCAGATACCTAGTATGCTGTGTCAATACTAATGTCCTTTGCACCGTAGAGGTGCCACTCCCAACGTGTTTGTGACTTACCATCGCAGGCAAGGACCAAGAATTCGTCTTCGTCAGTGAGCTCGTGTTCTTCGACGTCGGGGAATGCGGTAACAATTTGCTGCTCCGGGGGCAGCTCAGCGCTCTTCTTGAATTCAAAGTCACCAATGGCGCGTGACAAAGCCAAGTTGCCGTTGACACGCCCAAAGTCGACGAAGCCACCGGCGGCTGTAATTCGGTTCTTTTCGTCTAAATAAGAAAAAAAGTTCAAGTCAGGCACCAGTATACCTCTGTATATAGGGCAAATGCCGCGGTAGGACACTCAGAAGTAAGGGCGGTGTTGAGATTGGTGAAACGAACTCTCAAGTTGAGGCTTGTGGTCCTGAGACATGGGCTTTGCCCGGCCTTTGATACCCAATACACCTCGTGAATCACCAGCGTTAGCCTGTGGGGTGTCTAGTTAGCAAAAGTACGGATTTTTCTGAATTCTTCATCTTTTATTTCTTTAGTTTGTCTGGTAAAAGAGGGGGGTTGGTCGATTGCACGAAATTCGCCTGGCCTGTGGATACCGGCTGTTTTGACATACAACGTAGAGCTTGTTGCCTGCGATCAAACTGACGCAAGCAGTACAGCCAGAGACTTCATCTTCGTATTTGGGGTCTGTTGTCGCGAGGCAATGTTAGCATTGGTAGGATACGATGACGCAGGCGTGTTATCGGAGATTAAGGTTTGCTGAGAAGGAGAATTAAAAGCAAGACAACAAATTGGAGAGGGTGTTGTATCGCATCAGATCAGGGCAAAGGGTTAATTTTGACTCATTTGAAGCCGCGTACCGTTGAGGATGGCTCGGTCGGTGGCGAGGAAACCGTCCTTCAGTCCCTGCGCATAATCGCCAGCCTTAAAAGTATCCTGCTTGAGAATAATGTTATGAATATTTTCGCCCGCAAATAACGCCACCGTACTACCGCCGTGACCATCGAAAACGCCGAAAAAGGAGAGTTTGGGATAGTGAATCTTGGGGTCGAGGTCGGTGCCGGCGGCGAGATCCAGCACGGTGGTATGTGAGTCCTCCATGCTGATACGCCAGCCCTGCATAGCGGAGACACCGTAGACGAGTCTGTCATCCTCGCCCTTGTCGGAAGTCTGCGAAGGACCGCAAAGGGTCACGAATTAGCAACATGTACCGGGGTGAAATATGTACACAGAGAAAGAGCATGTTTTTGCGGGCAAGTAAAAGGGGCGGCGGGGTGATTATCGTTCCAGACATGCGACGACGCGATGCCCCTCCAAGGTTGATTGGAGTGAGGGACACACGGCTTGGTGGGGTGTTGAGTTGCGAGTTGTGAGCTGCGAGGATACATTGATGAATCCCTAGGCTGGCCGAGGGAAGACGTGATTAGGATTGAAGGGGGGACGTCGGAAATGGCTGCTGAGGCCGTGACAATAGAGGATCGCATGGCATTTCGCGACCATCGCAAGCAGGATGCGAGTGTGCGAGTAACTGCGGGTATGCGTGGACATGTGGACGTAGAGGGAATTCGGGGATATTTCGAGGCATTCGAGGGTATTTGGTAGTTCGCACGGCAAGGCGGCGAGCAACGAACCTTTTCGACGACGGGCTCCGAGAGCGTTTGACCCATGGCTGCAGAGTGCGGGCAGCAGCGTAGGAGCTACTGCAAAGATGCCCGGGAAATGGAAGACAAGGACAAGAGAAGAGAAGAACAAGAGGCCGTCGTCAGAGGGGAGCAGACAAGGCAAATTGGCTCTCCGGGGACGAGACCGGGGGGCAGACGAGGGGCAGATATGGGGGAGATTTGTGAAGCAGAATTGGAAATGGGACGTGGTGGTGTGCCTTTTTTTGGTGGTGTGCCTCTGGTGTTCCTTCTGGTGTCTCAGCCCGCCACTTGGACTCCATGGCCAGCACTGAGCGCCCGGCGCCGCAGTCGCCAGGTCGCCAGGTCGCCAGGTCACGCCGTCAGCTGCTGCGCAAAACGGGAAATAAGAAACTTTGCACCTGCTCCGTCCAGAGCGGGCAGAGCGGGGTACCGGGATTTGGACACGACTTGGACCTGGGCGTCTCTTGCCGTCACTGCCCTGATGCCCCGTGCCCAATAATGCTCAATACTCAATATTTCAAGCTGCCGTCATCGTTTGTCGTGCTGCATGCTCCCTACAATGCCCCCCATCTTGGCTTCAATGACCAGGCTTTCTGTTCTCTCGTCGCTCGGTAGCTCTTGACGGCCTGTGTCGTGTCTCGAACCCCAGTCTCTGCCGTCATCGTCATCCACACACGGTCCCTCAGAACCAGCCAACTGTTCGCCACTCTTCCACTCTTCCCGAAACACTCTGTTTTCAACACAACCCACAAGGCTAGCCATCTCAAGGCCCGACTGCCGAATCAGCGAGGGCTGGCCCTTGCGTCAAAGCACGAGGCTGCGGATAGTTTGCCCATTTGGGCCCAGACTCGGCTCCCCTGGTTTGCTACCAATCTGGGGCCACGCCCAGCAACCCAGATTGTGCGCATCTGCTGTGTGGGTGGTATCGTCTTGCGTACAGCAGGAAAATTTTTACTGTGGCTGATGGTCGCGTGTCCTCGTCGGCCTGGATAACAGCGCCGCCTCACCCTCCGCACTCTACAATTACTTTTTTTTTCTTCCATACGGGGAGGAAACACTGCGTTTCACAGGGAAATGCCAAGACACACCGCGATGAACTCAATGCGCCCGTGGTTCCCATCATGGACCTTGTCAACGTGAAGAAATCAAGGAGGAGCAACCCGGCACCGGACCCTAGAATACCACATCGGGATAGTCTGGACGGTACTTTACACTTATTATATACTTAAGTAGCTGAAGGCTACACTGCAAGGCTTTCCAAGGCACAGAAGCTAACCTTGTTACTAAAGAGGTACCCTTAAGATATTGCAGAAAAATGGGGTCGTTTTCAACAAAAACAAAACGCACCTTCGCATTCGGCCAATGTTTCCTCCATGCCGCATTGTAGGGCAACATTCAGCAACAGAGTCGTCGGTACCACCAGCCGCCTCGCCCTGGGACAAGCAGTATATGCAGAGTCGTCGTCTTCAACTCATAATACCTCGCAGGTCAAGTTTATGGCAAATACATACTACTAGTCCATGTAAAGAAAGACTTCGTCAGTGCGCACCCGCAGATTCGGCCGCTACCGAAAAGCACCGATGCATGGCTTGGTGCTGCAACTGTGGCCTGCGTCTTTTAATTAATTACCTAGGTACGTTGTGGATGTGAGTTGCACATGTATCCCCAGCAAAATACCCCCAAGTTCATCATTCAGCGCAGAGAAGAACTGACTTGAAAAAATTTGCTCTATGGGCAAAGGGAGGCGCGCAACACTGTCTGGCGATAATGTGTCCGGTGTAGCATTGTTGAGCCGCACTGCTGTGTAGTGATACTATTTTATACAAAGCTATACAAGGCGATTGATATGCCGCCACGTCCGCACTACCGCCTGTGTCGTTCGTTGAGCTCACATTAACTCCGTACATAGTCGCAGTCTCCAATATACTTCCAGGACCGTGCATTGGCAATTGCTGTATAGTTGGCCGTGGCTGTCCTCACACGGCCTTCCAATAAAGTTGTCGCATATCGGATACGATAGCCAGGCCGTCACTTTCACATCTGCCCAGAACCAGCCGCCCATCCAATGTTGCTTCAGCTCATTTATTGCTGGAAAGCTCGTTCCCGTATGGCTGTCAAATCCCAGGCCAGGCCTCAGACAGATTCTCCGCACGACCCCACGGCCAGCGTTGCCATCAAGAAAGTAGTTATCAGGGTCGCGGCTATGCAGCCTACACCCGCCACAATTGCCGGCATATTTGGCCGCACGAGCTACCCCTGTTGTCCTTCTTCTTCTTCTTCTTCATGTGTCATTGGCACAACCATCTGGAGGTGCAGGAATTCTTTCAGCCGGTGTCTTGATCTCTCACAGACGCTTCGCATACCAATGTATCGCCCCTCGCCTAGGCCATCTTATCCGGCTTCACGTCACTTGGCCACCCCGTTACTCACCAAGCTATGTTTCATCAGTCATATTTCCCAAGCGGCTCTCGGCGGCTGCGTTGGCTGACTAGATTGGGCTGAAACTTCTTTGTATGTCTCAACCCTACCGTTCTTCAGGGCCCCTTTGGTACGGCTTACAGCTGGGCCGAGAAAGCAGGGAGATTGAAGAGAGAGAGAAATGCACTTCAAAATACACTGTGGATCAGACAAACCAGACTCATCTTTGCCGGCAGGTGTATGTGATTGGCACGACCCTCATGACATGTCCTGTTTTTGATATTGCCTCAATCTACGGAGTACTCTGGCCAGAGCCGTCTTCCACAAATCCATCGCATCAGGCACGGATGACTGTGCCGTTTGATCATTGTTGGTGTCCCACGTATCCCGTGTTCATGTTCTGAAAACGCTCCAAGGAGGTATCACATTCGTGCCGCTGCACTTGCTAGAGAATCAATGGCTCAAGGGGCACGCTATAGTATTCGAGCCACGAACTGTCAGCATGATTTGGCTACACCGTGCCAGGTCGCTTCGCTTCGTTCACCAGTGAAATTTGGCTGCCATTGACTGACACCACGTCCACCTCTGGTATCAGATAGCATGCACCAAACGCGAAAGGACGGCGTCACAGATGTTCCGCAAAGGCTACGCCTGGCACTGATTCCTCCTAGTGAGTCTAAACTATCAAGGAGCATAGTCTCGTAATTCCATGGTAATCCTACTCTTTGCCATTCCGCATGGCATTGATTTCTCAACTGTCCCTCACTCTAGAAGCTGGAAGTCACATGGTATTAAACAGTCCTCTCGTCTGTCGTACCTGGTCAACTGGCACAATGTAGAATAATCATCCCTACCCCTGTGGAGAATTGTATTAATACTTGTACACGCCAACTATGCTACTGGTATCGTTAATTCACGGAATACGCTAGTCTAAACCTGCCCAATCGTCGCTATTCTCTATAAAAATACTTTGAAGCTTCCGTCTGACATCTTGCCCGATTGATCTCTTATCCATGGGGCTTCGTCAAACCCCCTTCCCCCTGACATATGAGTTGCCTCATCGCCCACATCACTCATCTTGGAGAATCTACTCATCGAGGGAGCAGGTCGTTCCGAGGCCAGCGGTGACGGGACATCCCCCCACTTATTAGTCGATGCCAGCTCCGTGCTAGGGTCGTGGTCCGCTTGTTGAGCGGCTTCGCGAGAGGCGCCCGGCCGGGAAGGGTGGAGAGAAATATCGTCAACAATCTCTTTTCCCGACCTCTCAGTCTTGGTCGGGCTGAGGCGGCCTATGACGCGCCAGTTCTCAGAGGATGCGAAGGATACTTCTGTAGTGACACTCTTGCCACCGTTTAGGGAGTCGGCTTCGTTCCAGGGCCGGGTCGGCTTAACTGCCACAGCGTCGGGTTTTCGTATCTCGCATATACTCCTCCCTGTCTCGCTTTTCGCGAGTGTCACCCAGTTTGGTTCTGAGCCGTCAACTATGTCTGTTGATCCGGTGGGCCATTTTCCCAGGGGAGCGGTGGTATACTGGTGGTCGTCTTGGACGGGGAGGGCCGCCGAGCTGGATGTAATTGCTGACTGGTGGCCCATGTAATGTTGTGAAAAGAGTGACATTGAGTCATGTGACAACAAGGGAGTTGGTTGCAGACTAGGCAATTCGTTGAGAGTAGGAAGGGTGATTTCCAGTCCTGTATCTCGCCTCGGCGTATAGTCAGCCCCGGGGAATATTTGACGGGTGGCCTCGGGGAACGTCACTTCGGATTGCGAGGATCTGTCGCTTTGAGATATCCCGCCGGGGGCCCCGTCAATTGTAATCCACGATTGCCTCCCGTCTTCGCTGTTAACGTTGCTGACGCTGCGGATAGTTGTTGTTCGAGCGGCGTCCACCATCATGCTTTGCGGCATCTCAGAAGTTGACAGTCCACCTAGCGTTTCTGAACTCCTTCTGTGAAAAGATATAGGCGAGCTTTCCTCTGCAAAGGCTGATTTGGCAGGCTTGAATACCTCCGTTTCTGTGTGCACAAAAGCCCCCATTGCAGCAGCTTCTCGCATCGATGGGTCTGAAAAATTAGCTGGCATAGTGCTAAGCACAGGAGGAGAGATCCTTGGACGATACTTGCTGCCCAGGTATCCTTGTCCAGAACGACGGCGACGGAAGTAGCACACCAATATCATAAGAAGAACTGCGACGAATATCACAGGAATGACAGTTGCCAGTAGGATTTCTCCTGTGCTCATATGTCCAGGCTGAGTCTGTCCATCATCAGGGATATCGCTTTCGGTAGCCGTAGCTCTCGCCGTTGTCGTAGCAGCGGAAGATGAAACTGAAGGAATTGTCGTCGTCGTTCCATCGAGGGCAAGAAAGTCCACTTCAATAACTTCCTTTTCGCTGAGACTCGAACTCTTTGAAGATGCGTCAATGGCCAATTTAAAGCTCCCCTTTGATGTCTTCGGAACATCACCGGAGAGCTTGAGCCCGTCAACCTTAAGCCAATCCTTCTCAGGGCTGGTTGACACTTTGACGGCAATGTCAGTGGGATTTTTGAAGTGTTTGGTCAAGTCCAAGTCGAATTTGCTCCCTGGTCTAATCTTCATATCTTCGATAGTAGAGACAAAGAGGCTAGTAGCCAGGTTGATAACGACCAAAACATCCAAATTGTCCGAAAACTTATCTCTGAAGGTGATGGTGAAATTGGCTGCATGGTCGCCATCCTTGGGTGTGCCTTGAAGTCTCCCCGTCTTGTCATCGTACGACAACCAGCTGGGTATATCCTTGGTGGTCACGGTCAGATCGCTCGGAGATATCCGTTTTCCGTCAAGCTTGATACCATTTTCCAAGCCATCGTAGCTGACCGCTGTGCCCCGCGTGGCATTCAGCGTAACAATCGGCTTATCGGTAGTAAGCTTATGACTACCCACCACGATGGAAAATTTGAGTGACGAAGCCGAGAATCCTACAATATCGGAAGCAACGAGGCTCAAATCGAATGTCTGTGGCGGTTGAACCAGAGACTCAAACGGAGGTGTTCGCCCGGTGAAAGATAATGAATGTGCATCAAACTGGATCCATGCCGGCAATGGGCTACAATCTGCGGAAACCGCGTAGTAATTCAGCCCAGAACTGCTGAATGTATTCTGATCAAAGGTGAGCTTGAAGTTTGTCGCCGGATATGATAAGATGGATGATGGCGCAGAGAATTTGCCAAAGTTGGCCATTTGATCCTCCAGAGGAATTCGAACTTCAGGAGCGGGTTGTCTAGAAATAACTACCGTCGCATTCATAGTTTTCGAGCCCTGATCATCGGTCGCGATAATGTCAACGGTCTGGCCAACCACCTGTCCTGACGGGACATCTCCTTCTCTCGGCGTGCCGTATAAGCGCCTCCGTCCACTCTCGAGAGACAACCAGCTAGGATGATCGCCGAGCGAGTACGTGATTTTTGAATCGGATTGAAAAGTATATTGCGAAAAGGAATAAGAAAAAAACTGATCTATTCGCGCGGCTGGCGGCAGCTGTGCGTTGAAGGGGAATAATATCGTAGGCTCGCAGCTCACAAGCCAAGTCAGTGGCAGTGCTGCCACAAAGGCCAGCAGTGGAGGCATGACGGCACGATATCCTGTGCGCAAAAAGAGGCACTGTACCGCAAATATAACAAGTAAGGCGTCATGAAGCCATACACAGAGCACAGGGCCAAGAACACAAAGGGAAGATTCAGTGAAGGTCAGGAGAGTAAAAGGAAGGACTTGAACAACGAACGGCAGATGAGATAGTGTTCGCCACGATTTCATCCTATGATGGCCATCTTCAAGACTCTTGAGCCAGAAATACTCGCCCCTTCATTCCATGGACAATCCAGTCGTGGGGTCACTGTGCGGGCTGGGAGACATGTGGATGGTGCCGCGCCGATAGGCTACGGGCACATGCCCATTGCGACAAGAGGCGCATGTCTTGGAAGCAGAATCTTTACTGGGGTAAATTCACAGGGAAGGGAGAGGCGTTGGGATGGAAAAGTGGTAGTAGATGCGAGAGGGCTGGTAATAGTGGGATGCGACATTCCAGAGCATTTGGCTCGTGGGCTAGGGAACTGGGACGATCGATTAACGGCAATGCGAGACAGCCCCAACCATAGGAGCAGAAGGGAATATGGTGATTATATCGCCAAATTGGGCCAAAAAAAAGCCGAAGATTGCGCTTCCTTCTTTTCTTTTCCTGTGTCGAGCATGTAGCATGCAGCATATCTGGTAAAACAAGAGGTCCAAGTTGCCCGCGCCCGCAGCTCAGGTACGATCGATCTCCAGTGACGACTGACAGGGTCCAGCAGCAAGGGAGAAGTCGGCCGCATAATCGCATAATCGCATTGGCTATCAAATACTATCAGTATCAACTCGGCCTACGGGGCCGGTGGCAAGAATGGGTCGGAGAGGGGACGAAATTCAATATTCAATAAAATATGCCTGTCGAGGCATGTGTTTGGGGTTTCGTCAGTTGAGTTCAATCGATATCGAATTTCAACAGCCTATCCGGAGCTCGGTCGGCATTATTAAACGCGCCGACGCGTAAATTGATTCCTTTATGACGACATATGGAGACTGGATTTTGGCGGCGCGATGATGGCAGCCAGGTAAGCCCAAGTCTCTCTCCTACTATTTCACGTTGTTCAATCTGAACATCGGCACTAGTTATGGTTCCCTGTCTAGAAGTCTCGATGCAACCACGGCCAACTTGCTCAATCAAGTGGCGTGGAACGCGCCGCAGCACTGTTCTTGCGCTCAGATGCGGCTTGTTGAGCTGCAAGAAGTCCTGAGGAGGAACAGACCGGGAAGAAGTCACCAGGGTCACAGCGGCAATTGAGACCAATCATGGATCTGGGGGGCCCTGGCTTTTGGGTGATTGGAATTGATCCTGTCGGCCATTCTACAATTCGTCCAAGTCACCCATGGTGGACCTTCGCGAACCGTGCAGAGGAGTGGTAGCCCAGGCATCGCCCACGTCAAATCACCAGAAATCCTTTGCACGGCATGCCTAGGCGCTTGAATCTAGAATGTATCAGCAGGTGCAGAGATTGGATGCTAATGGTATCCTACATTGCCTAGTAGAGGAGGCAGTACAAATTTGTACGTATGTACGATAATGCTGGTAAATCTTGGGAGTTGTGGACTCGCTTGGCGAGGCCCATCCCAATGAGGAAAGGCGGCGAATCATTCAAGGTCCTCTGACAATAACTGCTCACTTGAACACATTGAGGGTCGAGGGTCTGGACCGCAGTCCATTCAGAGGACTAATGCTGGGGAAAAGATGGACAACTGGCAGTCCAAGAGACCGAGAGAAAAGGACCTTACTGGTTGGCTGGTTGCCACTTCCTGCGTCAAACAGTTTCGCTCCAACGCTCCTTCTCTTTTTCCTCCTCCCAAGCCAACACAAGAACTGCATCACAGTGAAACCTGGTGAAAACACGTTGTCAGTGTCTGCCCATGATGAGTCGGTCCCCTTCACCGCTGTTAGATCCCGTGGCCGTCAGCGAGGATCTAACACCTCTGCCAACCCTGAAGCAGGCTGGAGACGCGCGCATCGATTTTGACGGTCAGCTTTCAGAGCCACTCGCCTATCATGAGGATGTGAGGACGGGATGCGGTGGCCAAACATGGCCGGCAGGACTGGTGCTGGGAAAACACATGCTGCGCTACCACAGACAGGAGATGCGGACAGCCAGAATGTGAGTCGTTCCCATTTCCGAAGGCGATTTGTTGCAATACAAATATCCCAAGCTGCGAGTTTTACGGTGTATTCGGTACACCGAGGATATCTCCTAAGCATCGGACAGTGTGCGTGGAGAAAGTGATAGTAGAACATGGTTGGACCCCAGCCACGTTTTCTCGCATTCTGTCTTTCGAGATGCATGGATTGGTGAAACATGTAGAAGCAACTTGCTGACTCATAAATGACTTTTTTTTTATGGCAGACTGGAACTTGGTGCTGGAGGTGGGCTTGTTGGTCTCGCCGTGGCACTGGGATGTGGTGGCGAGAACCAGCTCTTACTTACCGACCAGGACGAGATGCTGGAGCTCATGCAAACAAACATACGGCTCAATCGAGTTGATTCAAGGGCCCGGGCTCTCATCCTTCACTGGTACGTGGGTCCCTTTTTTGCCCTGTTGGTTTCGTTTGGTTTCGTTTCGGGAGAGGAAAGGGGGATCATTGTTCCCCTACCAGACCCGCAGCCTTATTGTACGTCTCCAGTCGTGCAACGTATTGGTTTTGCTGGCTAACATGAATTTGGCTTGTTCGTGTTGTAGGGGCGAGCCACTTCCGCGGGAGGTTGTGGCACAGAAGCCAAATGTGATTATCGCAGCAGAATGCGTGTATTTTGAACCTGCTTTCCCCCTACTCTTGGACACTCTCAAGAATCTGCTCGCATTGAACGAGGAGGCTGTGGTCTACTTTTGCTTCAAGAAGCGTAGGAGGGCCGACATGCAGTTCGTCAAAATGGCAAAGAAGGCCTTCGTGGTTGAGGAGCTGTTTGACGAGGATCGCCCAGTGTTTCAGCGGCAGTCATTATTTCTCTTTTCATTCAAATGCCGCCCGAGCGCCAAGAGCACGGCAGCCAGAGGCAATGCGGGAAAAAGCTGTAATGGCGTGAACGGCATCAATGGCATTGGTCCCGGCGGGTGCTGCAACATGAATAATAGAATGCAGAAGAGTTGATGCAGGAGTAGTTGAGCCCGCAAGACTGTGAATGACCCGCAACCGGACAATCTTGAATAAAGAAGGTTGCGACGGCGCCGTTGCCACTGGGCTCGTCACATATTGCATGTGACGCCGTCGTCGATTTGTCGTCAACGGCCACCTTTGGCTTTTCATCCCAAGTGTGCAACGGCGCCAGAAATGCAAACGCGAGCTAGAATCGTCAGGAACACCCATCCACCGATCAACACCGTCTTGACTCAGTCCAGTGCTAGGCCGCAAAGTCGTTGCGTTTCAATCTTGCACTAGTACACCACAGTGCCAAAGCAAGCCGCCGTGCCCCCATACAAGTGCTTGCGTGTGTGGTGGGTCAGAGTCGTTAGTTTTTCACAAAACCATTCAGGCCGTGATCTGGGGATGCACGATGGCCGGAGCAGACGAGCCAAGTGCTCTACACAGTGTTGCCATAAATATGCGCTGCTGCTGTGTACCTGCTGCGCTGTCGCCTGTCATGGCTTGAGAAAATGCCTCTCCAGCCAGGCGCGCGATTTACAGAGTGGCCCCCTCATCAGGAGTCAAAATCGTCCCGAGTGCCGACGGCCGAGCCCCCCCGCTGACATGGTCGTGGTGCGAGTTGGTGCCAAAAGGTTGCGTGACCGAGGGCGGCGCGGAATGCATAATTCCTAATAGCAGTGCAAGGCAGGTTGGCATTTCTGTGCAATTTTGCATGCCTGACGGTGGTGCGAGGTGGATAACCAGCTCGGCCTGGGCCAGACTCATTGAACAGATGCAGACAGACGTATTCCTGTCACAGGCCAATATCTGGCACCAAGATCATGGGAAGACATCTTGGGTCGGAATTGGCTGCCACGGCCATCATTCAAGCAGGACCACAAACGCCCGTGAGAAGAACCAGAGATTTTCAGAGAAAAATCTCCTTGTGATGAACTCTCCAGGGGTGCATAAAGTGGGCCCATGTTAGCCTGCCGGAACACCAGCCACCAGCCACAGGACCGTATTCCGTATTCAGGGGGTACCAGACTGCTCTTTACGGAGAATGGGGTAGAAAACGTCAGAATAGAAAACTCTTACAACGCCACGAAGGAAAAAAGGATTGCGTAACTAGACAAAGTGCTCCGTACAGTACGTAGTGCGGAGTATTCCGTAGATACTCCGTCCCATAGGTCTCCACCATCCGCTGGGGAAAGCCTGCAGACCGAGTTCACCAGAAATCCCGCGCAGGTTGAAGCTGCGTCCTCACCACGCGCCTCAGGCACCCCGAACGCTTCATTGGTCGGCTTCGTCGGGTACCTGATGTACCTGATCAGCCTTGACCTGATCAGACCTTACGTGTGTGTGTGGGTCGGGCGGTGCGCTGGCGTTAGCGATGGCGTTGGCGTTGCGTTGCGTTGCCCCGGCCACTGGCCAATGGAATAGCGTTTCGGTGCTGAGAGAGAAGAACGACATCTTGGAGCTGGTGGGCTCCGGCTGGCTACCCGCCTCGCAGGGTTCAGGGGCAACAGGTTTTCAACGTTTTCGTGGGGCCACACGTTAGATAGCACAAAAGTATATCTTGCGCCAGTGACAAACAAACGATGGAGACAAACGTGGCGCTCCTCGAAGGAAAGCACCAATGAAGCGCTATTCAACTGGTCAACGGTGTTTTTTTTCTGTTTGGCGGCTTTGCTTCTTGTGCAGGTACTCCGTACATGTGTATTTGTATGTACTGGTAGGGAACACCGATTGAAACTATGGTAAACAGCCAATAGCGCTCCGCGCCTGAGGCGCAAATCCCTCAAGTGGCCATGTACTTTTAGCTGCCCCTCTGCGGGCTGCCGCCCCCTGCTGGCCACTTCCCTTCATGCCGTCTGGTCCGTTCACCTCCAGCCTCATGGTGCACTTGCAAACTGTTTATCTACCCCCAAGGCCCCGTCATCAATTCCCTCCTTCTCTTCTTCCATCTCTCACATCACTCTCCTTCATTTCCAAGACCTTGCCAAGACCAGCGGTCTTCAGTTATTATTTGCTTTCATCACGAGCAGGACTCTTATCGCCTTCACTCCTTTGCTTCGGCATAACCTGTTCGACCACACTGCTATTCTAAGCCAGTCAAACACCGCCCAGCCAATCAATCGACAAGTCGGATTACCATTCCTTCAACCAATCATTAGTCAAGCAAGTCCATTGCACACTTCGCTTCACACTTCACATCGAGAGTCTCGCCTCAACTACCAACCAAAGTCGCCATCATGAAGTACTCGGCTGTCGCCTGCGCTACGTTTATTGCAGCTGTTGCTGCCCAGCCTTATTACAAACATGCAAACAAGCACGCACACAAGCAGCACAACCAAGTCCGTAACAACGTCAACGTGCCTCGTGCTGTCACTGTCAACGAGCTGGTTACTGAGACCGTCTACGTTACTGAGCTGATTGACGAGACCACCACTGTCTGGATCACTCCCAGCCAGGAAGCCAAGTCTACTCCTACCTCGGCCGCTGCTCCCACCCAACCAGCGGGCAAATTCTACGAGACTCCCTCTGCTCATTCTGCTCCTGAGGCTCCCACGCCCAGTCCCAGCTCTAGCTCCAGCTCTAGCTCCAGCTCTAGCTCCAGCTCCAAAGCTGCTGCTAGTCCTCCCCCAGCTGCGACTACCTCAACTTCTGCCCATGTTGCTCCACCTGTTCCTACCACTACCTCTGTTTACGCTGCGGCTCCTTCCACCTCTTCTGCCACCAAGCCCCAAACTTCATCTGCTCCCTCTGACGGTGGCGGTGATTCCGGTTCTGTTAAGTTCACGGGCGCTCTCACCTACTACACCCTTGGGATGGGCGCTTGCGGCGAGGACGACGGGGGTAAGGACCAGAGCGAAAGCATTGTTGCCATTTCTCACCTTAAGATGGGCGAACAGTCCAATGGCAACCCCATGTGCGGCAAGACCATCACGATTAGCGCCGGCGGCAAGACTGTCACTGCTACTGTGAAGGACAAATGCATGGGCTGTGAGGAGAACGATATCGATGTCAGTCAGTTTACTTTCGAAAAGCTCTACAACCTTGACGCTGGCCGTAGAGAGGTCACCTGGTGGTGGAATTAAGCTACTGAGCACTGGGGATCACGAGAGGTAGCTGTAGCGATTCACCTGTGCTGTGCACGGTGCAGCTCCATCTGATTTTCAAACGCAGCTGTGGTCCACCACATCTAGCTTCATGACCGTACGATTTTTGGGTTTTGATCGTCTCGTTTATTTTTTGGGTTCAATCTCTTGACACCAACTGCAATCAGGATACATGGGAAAGATGTAAAAAGACTGACATACGATATCCGGCCAAAACGGACAGACAGGTTATCTGTTCTGGAAGCCAGCACAAGACGTGCAGTCAAGGCGCATTGGTTGGTGCTGTTCTTAACTTTCACTGTATATATCACTTTTTGTTGTGGGTATCTAGGACACTGCTACGGCAGGAACTGAACTCTGGATAGAGGAAATGAACAATTACAATCCAAAAGGCAATCCAAAATGGAGCGACTGGCTGCCCTGGGAGTGTGAATGTGTGTAGCCATTTGTGCCATTTTTACATAGGACGCGCCCGAAGGTACCAGGATTAACCATGTATCATCGCATCCCAGTGATGATACTACATACCGGGGCATGAGGTAAAAATAAAACCCCTGGGCAAGGCTACGAGACCGCGAATTGCCACGTGCACTCTCCGCCCATGGTGACCTTGTACATACGGAGTAATGGACACCCAAATCGATCACAAGAAGCTCAGGAGTTCCTCCACATATCTCCGTGTGTCAACGCCGATCCCCTGAACCAACTTACTCGCGCCGTCCGCACCACCTCCCCCGTCCTCTGTCGAAAGACTCTGGAACCCAGCGTGGTCGCTGGCCTTTCTGATCAGGAAGATTTCCTTGCTGGTCACCAAACTGCGCTCCTGTTTCTCATCCTCCCCGGCTCCCTGGGAGGCCTCAGTCCCCGACGACCCCGGCGACGGCGGGGGGTTCCCGTTCCAGCCCCGCGG